CCCTCCGTGGCGCTTCACGAGGTCCTGACCCTGGTTGCGTTCTAATGAGTTGAGTACGCCCGTGAAAACGAAGGTCAGTCCAGCCAAACAATTTTCGCGGCCAACAGGGAGCTCGACAGACGCTCCAGAGAGTGGTGCCTCGGTTCGGTTTGCATTGAAAGCGGCAAAGTTGAACTTCTTCCCCTCTTCGCGAGGCGGCGGCGTCGGCGCTCTGACTGTTTTGATACTGTCGAGAATATCATCAACGGCTGTTCTTACTTCAGGCTCTTCTTCCTTCTTGCGGCTCTTTTTTGGTTTAGCCTTCTTGGCTGGAGACTTCGCTCTTGAGCCCTTTGCCTTCTTCGAGACTTGCGCGAAGTCTTCCTCCTCATCATCTTCCAATTCAACAGACTTTCGTTTTCGCCCTCTCGAAGCCTTAGTGCTGCTTTTGGAATCTCTGTATTCTGGAATATCCTTCATTTGGATGTCACTGTCCTCCTCGCTAGCACTAGCATGCCTTTTGGATGACGCTCCATTGCCTCCTTTTTGAGTTCTCCGGGATAATTGAACGACTTGATCCTCGTCGTCTTCGCTTTCGTAGGCATCTTCTGCGTCTTTTCTTCCAGTCTTGTAGTCTGCTACAAAGATGTCCTCTCCGGAGTCGGCATCATCCTTGATGATCTTGGGATCGAAATCACTTTCCTCGTCCTCATGTACCTCCACGTAGTCTGGCTTACTCTTCTTTCGAGATGGCGTCTTGCCATTTGTGCCTGATGCGGGTTCTGGCGTAGCTTTGGCTTTTGGCGTAGACTTTGTGGACGGCGCTTTCACATCCTGGGGGACCTTCTTCTCGGAATGGGCCTTCGAATTCGCTGGCGTAGAGCGAGTCGGCTTGGATTTGCCGCTAGAAGCGAAGTAATCTGACGTTGTGGTGACTTCTCCGACGGGAGATATCCTCTGGCTAGAGTGTTCGTTAGCAATTGAAACTTTCATGAAGCTTGTGTTGCAAGCTCACACTTGTTTCTGCGGGGGGACCTTCTTGGGTGTTGATTTCTTGGCCGGCTGGACCTGGACATCATCATCGCTGTCACTGAGGACCTTTCGTTTTCCTAGCTGACTTGAGCTTCCACAGCAGGGCCATTGGCAGTCTTGTGAAGCGTACCTCTTCTTTTCGGTTTCTTGTCCTTCATCTATGGGCGAGCGAAAGCCAGGTTAGCATGCACTCCACGGCTTATTCAAGCGAGAAAGAGCACAAAGAGGGCCGGAAGGCAGAGGACTAAGTAACGAGATGAGAAAACAGTCAATCGCAGCTACCGTGTAACAACCCTTGTCGGAGTGAACAGAAGTGTGGAGTTCTGGCAAAGGTGTCTTTACTTACAGCTGCTTCTTTGGATGCTGATTGCTCTTGACTGGAAGCAGTACCTTGGCCTCCCTTGCTACCAAAGAAGCTTCTGATATCTGGGGGCATATTGTCTGGCTTTTTAACAGATCAGAGAAAAAGGTAGACGGTCATCAAGGTGATGACGCCTGAATTGTGCAGTATTGGAGACGCGCTTCGCGTCTATCATAAATTAGCGCCAAGAATTGCGGAGCTTTGTGCACACGCTAATTTGCTGCCTTGTCGAGAGAAAGTTCGCTCTCTCCCCAATCAAACGATTGATATTCACAATGAAGCCTCGATCACTGCCTGTACTGTCGCCTTGCTCGCTGCGAACAGTTCCTTCATCAGCTCGGTTTCCTTTCCGTAAGATTTGATCCTTGCATCCACTTCCGCCTCCCACTTCTGATACTCATATCTCGCAGGTTTCTCCACATCTTGCTCGATTACTCCTTCGGCCATTCGCACCTTCTCAGCTACTTCACATGCTCAGAGTTGGCTGATTCCGAAACGTGGCCATACTCAGAAAAACCGAAAGGGGCGCTGCCGGGTCCCCACTGGCGGCTCAACCCGAGGCACAACAGTGGTGTGGGGCGACTACGGCTTGCGCATGCGAGATCATGACCGAAGAATATCATCTCAACAATTGGCTGTTGGTGCAGAAGCCATTAAGAAAAGATTACGAGGGGAGAGATATCGTTTATATACCAGAGTAGCCGCGAATACCGGAGTATATAGTAGTGGAAATGAGAGTAGGATGGGCAAGGGAAAAGGCAGTTTTGACTACTGGGCTGCAAGGGTCGCAGTATCACAGATCGTGTTCGAGATCAGTGGAGAGCTCCATGAGCAGGTGGTCAGAGATGCAATGAGGTTAGCAGGGAATAAGTTGCCCGGTATGATCATAAGTCTCTTCTTTGCCATTTGCAATTGAAGATCTTTATGCTAATAATGGGGCCAGGACTGTATGAATTCGTGAAGAAGGGGGATCCACCTGTCATGGGCCTTACGAAAGTGGAAGCTGGGGTCACGCTGGACGAGATGAAGAGACCCTGGAGGAGATTACCAGCGGACATAAAGGCAGGGAGAATCTCAGCTTCAACGCCAGGGAGTTTGCCCGCTGCAACTCCAACTGCTGCCTAGAGCCAGCACAAGTAAGATGCCCATTACTACCTCAGGTTCTTCGAGATCACGAAAGACCCTATGCTCCAATGCCAGATCCTGGCCCGTAGCCCTGGTCCCGCCTGGACTCTTCAGCATCTTCTGTTTCTCCCTGTGCGCCCAATGGTCCAAATCCGTCTGCAGACACGCTTCAGCAGTTTTCCTAGCATCATAGCATATTACGTGTAGTCCACTCCTACCTTGGTTCGCACTTCCTCCAGCTTCTGTAGTCTTGCCTCCCATACCCCCTTCTGAGATTGTCTGTCCATACCTTACGTTCTCTGCTGTTTTAGCTCCTCTCTCAGCCTTCTGCTGTTCTTGTTGAGAAGTCACGGCATCTGGCTGAGTTTCCTCTTCTAAAGTTGTGTTTTGAGTATTGACTAGTTGCTACCAAGGTTGAGATTGAACTGACCACCCATTTGTCCGCCTTGCTTAGAGTGGGGTTCTGTGACTGTCTGGATTGACTCGTATCTGGTTGAATGGTCAGCTGCTGCTAAACGTCAACACTGGGAACTGCGTACTGCGAGCCTTCACCGCCTGCTTCGGTATCCATAAGATCTGAAGACATGGTTGTGGTTTGGTGATCTTGAATGTATTACAGAGGGATTGTAGACGGAGGGAAACTGTAAGAAAGATCTTATGAGTTTGTTCTGTTGATTACTCGTATGGAGCTTTCAATCTCAACGCTCGGAAGCTTAAAATGACGCACTGTGGAGTGAATTGCCCTGAGCTAGCCGTTCTAGAACACCTCGACTTCATGCTACTGCAGACAAGAAATATGCAAGTAATGCTGCTTCACTCCACTTGTTGTTGGGAATTCTCCTAGAAATCCATCCCCATTAAGTAGCTACAATCGAATTAGCTGAGATATCGAATTGCGCTTTGCGGCACATGCCTTTCTAGTATTCTCATGAATTTTGCAACAAAAGCCTCGAGATGGAAGATGTGTTTCTAGAGTCCTTCATCAGTACTTCACATCCATGAACGGGATGTCACTTACGCTGCCCATTCGAATGCGATGCTCATAGAAAGCCGACCACTTGATCACGTCTGCTTTCAGTGCGTCGTCAATCTTTGGTATGAGTTTGAAGGTCAATGTCTGTACCGGATTAGCATATCTAGGTCCATTGAATGTTGCTGTAGGCAATATACCTTCAATACCGTTGTAGGTGGTATACAATGGCTGAGCAAATCGTACAACTTCGCACGGACTTGCAGAAGCCTCGCAGGCGTATGTTCTGCCATTATCTCATCGGCAATCTGAGCGACGAGAGCCTCCCAATCCGGCGGCGGGACAGGCGTCTTATCCGTGACTTTCTCGCTGTGATGTGCCGTTAGCATTCCGAATGAGATACAGTAGCACTGCTCCCCACTTCTGTGCGTGGACAGCCTCAAACATCAGCAATGCCCTCCTCAGGTTTCTCGCACTGTCCTTTGCAATCCTCCTGTTCAAGCCTTCCGCCTCGGCCCATCCTTCCTGCGCTCCAACTTTCTCCAGAACTTTGCAAATATCGCTCTCCGTCGGCGCCGCTACCCTCACCAACAGCGTTCGCGATCGAATTGGCGCAATGATATTTGCTGTACTGTTTGCCAACAATATCAGCCTCATGTTGGGGCTGTATTTCTCCATAGTCCTTCTCAACGCTGCCTGTGCGTCTCGGGTAAGGTGGTCCGCTTCATTGATGACAACGACCTTGAAGCGTTGTCTAGCAGACTGGTCGACTTGTTGGGTTTGTGCCACTTCCTTGAGAAGATCTTGGATGACTACCCTGTCGAAATTGCCGACGTCTGAAGGCGTTATCTCAAGGTGGTACACAGAAGCCACGATATTGAATTCGAGCTTGCGGTTTGAGGTGGTTTGGAATACACGAGAGTCGATTTTGATCTTTTCCACACCAGGCCCATAAAGCTCACGTAACGTTGCAACAATCCTGGTCTTTTTTCCCGCGCCTGACGGCCCGTAGACAAGAAGATGGGGAAAATCTCCGCTTTTTGCCTAGCATCAGACATCAGTAACGTTCTACAAAGCGAAATGGGGATCCTTACGAGACTTTTGAGCCGCTCGGAGAGGTCTTCGTGGTATGTCAATGCCTCCAGAGAGCGTGGGCGGTATTTGTCTACCAGTAATGCCATGTTTTGTAGCACAGAAACTTATTGTACTGGTGCAATTGTTTTTGGGAAGAGTGGATAGACAATTCTTGAAGCTGACGCGCCTCACGCGTCTAGCGCGTTTAGGGTTAAAAGTGGTTCCTAAATATGCATATTCAATATCGATTCTCTGATCCTTTTAGGACGTGATCGGTCTTGCAACATGACTACTAAGCTATGCCTCTCCAAGTTTCACTTATGTGAAAAGCGAGCTTCAACGGTGAACCTTCCATGCTCACAATGTCTTCGCCCTGCGATATTAAGACCCCACGCGGCTTCTGCACAGAGGAGGCAAATATCGAGCACGCGAAAGACCAGGCAGCATCTTGCTCCCACTATGGAACAATTACGAGCCCCGTTCTCCCACAAGAACAGTTCCACTCTGTACGTCTTTCTCGAAAGTTGTCAACGCCAGCAGCTAAGTTTCAAAGCTACTACACTCTGAGCGTCATTCTTGGGACGGTGGCACTGTCATATGGCTCGGTACCCATGTACAAAATGGTACGTTCCGTCTGGATTTTGTCTACATGAGGGCTCACTGACACGTAGGGCTAGATCTGCCAACAGACTGGTTGGGGTGGCCAACCTATCAAGGCTTCCATTCATTCAAATGCCGAAGACCCAGCCACTCGACTTACGCCCGTGACCGACTCCCGTCGTCTACGCATAACTTTTAATGGATCAGTATCGGACATAATGCCTTGGAAGTTCACTCCGCAACAGCGAGAGGTCCGAGTCCTGCCTGGGGAGACAGCGCTCGCGTTTTATACCGCGACGAACAAGAGTACTGAGGACATTATTGGGGTTGCTACCTATAGTGTAACTCCAGCACAAGTGGCGCCATATTTCAGCAAGATTCAATGCTTTTGCTTCGAAGAGCAAAGGCTCAACGCTGGGGAGACTGTCGATATGCCGGTTTTCTTTTTCATCGATCCGGACTTCGTCAACGATCCTACGATGACGAAAATAGATACGATCACTTTGTCTTATACATTTTTCAGTACGTCTACCATATGAATTCAGTTTTTCATGGATAGACGACTTGAGCTGACCCGTTTTTGCAGAGGCACGATACGATAAGAACGGGAATCTAACCCCAATGCCGATGACAATGGGATGATGCCAGTTACTAAAACGTGCGATCTTCGACCATCTGCCATGGTTCAGGGGTCTCCGGGATCGTCTCGGTTGGTCTCATGGCTGAGATGTGGCATAATAATCACCTCTGCCCGTACGATACTGCCTCTGAAGGCATACAAATACGATTCCACCTGCGAAGGGGTCGCCAGACAAGCTGGATACCAACACGGACAGCGCCGCGATTGTCCCATGTGGTAGCCCGCTATGATGATGAGGTGCCAAATACAAAGAGCTCATTCTGATGCGAGACTTTAGTGCTGGAAGATGACTTTGGTTCCCTGGACTGGTTGAGAGGTGAAATGTATCGGAGGAGGTTAGTACAGAACTTGGCAATGAGGCAGAGGCGACAGGCCCCAGCTTTATTGGAGTATGGGATTCCTTCGTGCATCGCGTCTACAGGCAGTTCATGATATGGGCGAATCTCTCTATATCCACGTCAGTGTCATATAGCAACTGGGACGGTGGACTCGGACGAATACTAACGCCGAACCAAGATAGGTTCGATTGGAGGCTGGAGCATTCTCCCTTCCTTTCCCCTTTCCCGCTTCTTGGATTAGAGCATATTTAATTACTCCAGGCCATGACGCTTCGGGTTCAAGCTGCGATATTTTGCTTGACTTAACGTGCATTGGTTCAGATCGAAATTCCAAAGGCGAAAACCCAAGCCTTTTGTACTTTCTGTAGCATCCTTGACACCACCTCGGACTTCCCCACAAAAATGTCCAATATATTCACGATCTTCACGATCTATGGCTTCCCATTCAGAATTTGGCAAGGAGACCACGTCTGAGCAGGTTGTTGACGCTTTCGCTGAGAACATCTGAGGCAAACCAGGTCTCACTATGCCCTTTACTCCTCGCAATTTAGGAGAGTAACTGCGTGCAGTGATCATTACCGGAGTCAGTCCAAATGGCCTTGGCGAAGCTATGGCTCGAGCTATAGCATCCAAGGGCCCATCACTGCTGGTTCTGATCGCCCGGTCCACCAGCAAAGCCGAGGCAGTATCAAAGCAGCTAGGGGTAGACTTCCTCTCAGTGAAGACACGAGTCCTTTCCCTCGACCTATCTTCACAAAAGAGTGTACGACAAGCCGCCACAGAGCTGGAAAACATAACGAAAGCAGTCGATGTACTAATAAACAATGCCGGAGTCATGGCCGTATCAGAGAGGACTTTGTCGAAAGATGGGGAAGACATACAGTTTGCAACAAATTACGTTTGTTCTTCACAAACGTGATCATAAACAAGCTTCTGATCTCTGGCATTCAGAGCCCTCAAAGTGGTGCACGGACTGTCAATATTACGAGCGCTGCACATGTCCTCACCCACTTGCGGTTTAGCGATCATATCTTTAAGGGAGTACCGATCCCTTATGAAGAGCAACCAAACACAGCCATAGCATCCCAAATGGATATGCCCGAACTTGATCCACAGGGAGGGTACCATCCTATGATTGCATATTGTCACTCGAACACGGTCAATATGTTATTCACAACGGAGCTTGCAGAAATGTTGAAGGACAAGGGCATATATCCCTTCACTTCAGCCCCTGGAGGTAACCGCACAGGACTTAGACCTCGAGGCGCCTTGATTGCTAACCAGCTCCGCAGTGGTTGAAACAGAGCTCTAGCGTGACATGGCCATAGGGCTCAGAAATCCGCACATGTTCTACAAGACTCCAAACCAGGGCGCGGCGACTTTCTTATTCGTTGCATTTGATCCCAATCTGAAAGGTAGCGTTCCAGCCACCCTTGCGAAAATTCATACTCATGTCTTGTAGATCGGTCAGGCGCAATGACTGTCAGATTGCTACCGCTGCCGAACATGCAGTAGACAAGGAAGCCACTGCGAGGCTGTGGGCTCTAGGGGGGAATCTTGTGGGCGAGAAGTTCAATTTCAATCAGGCCTTGTAAATATGACTGTATCAGAAATAGATTGGGAAATGGTGAATCTGTAGGGATTCGCGCAAGACTTCTGTGTTATCGTTAACCAAATCTCCGCAATGATAATTTCCATCGCTTCATTTGATCACCCCGGCCATAGCTGCATCCCAAGAAGCCTTTGTTTGTGCATGTAGTGATTGGTGCGGCATGTTGCTCCTGGGAGCAAATTCCCAGCAAACGAGTGAGGAAAGGGCAGAAACAAAGATTTCGACCCAAAGATGAATATTAGTCTGCTAACATAAAGCTTGCATGCTTGGACGAGTCAGCGATTGTGGTCTGTCTGGTAACGCACAGAGGAGATTTCTACGAACCGCTTTGTCCTTTGATAGATCATAAGCTCACGTCTTGTATTTACAGCTTTGACCCTTCAACCGGATCTTGCTGTTCTCATTTGCCAGTCCACATTCTCCTCAATGTGTCCTCTTGCAAATCCACCCAGACTTTTCTCGCCCTATCCAGCCCGAGGCCCTTCTTCTCCTTCCTCCTCTCTCCTCCGCTCCCATAGACCACAGTATTATCATCGACTACCATCCCCTCTCCAATTTCCACCCCTGCACAGACTTTGCTATTCGCACCAACCACCGTCCCTTTGCCAATCTTGGCTCCAGCCTCGATGATTGTGTAAGCACCTATGGATGCGCCTTGGACAACGGCACAGGTTTCGATGAGGACACCCGATGAGAGCGTCACTCCTTTTGCTTCTTTCTCATTCTGAGGGGAGCTGAGGAGGCCGATCGAGGCACGCTCGCTGATGATACATCCGTCTCCTACGCTGATGGGCCCATAATTTGACGTAAGACGAGCACGGAGCTGCACGATTGATTTCGATCCAATTTTGATCAGGTGGGTGCCAGTGCAAGAAGCGGATGCGGATATCAATGTTGTGGGAGTAGAACTCAGGGGCGGCGTCGGGAGTTTGGAGGTAGAGGAGCGATTTGTAAGGCTGGGTCGAGCTGTCATGCTTGGTGTTATATCACGAAGTGGACACGAAAGCTATGTTTTATATTGTGTTCATCCTACAAGTATTTCAGTTACGTAAATGCTCCTATCAACAAGGTAAAGCGACCACGTAATATTGATACAGTCGAAGCTAGAGCAGTTCTGTGACGCTCTTTTCCATAAGAGTATGCCCCCCCGCAAATGCAATGCCGCTCGCTGCGCCAGATCTTTTGCCATGTATGATATCTCGAGTACATCTACGCTCTTTGCTCAGGCCGGACCGCCATCACCTCTTATCCTCTTCCCGTTACCACCGTCACCTCCCTCCTGGCCGTCATCCCTTGGCCTCTTGTTGCCAGGTATGAACTGCCTAGCCCCAGCATTTAGCCCTGCACTAGTTGGACTTCCCCTGCCTCCTTGCTGCCCTTGCGATCGACTAGTGTCGAGGGTTTGTGGGCCTCCTCGACTAACGGCCGACCCTCTACCCCTCGAAATCGGGTTGCCACGCATTGAACCTCCTCTAGCCACAGGGAGACCAGACTGCTGCAAGCCTTTGAGTGCGCCTGGTCCGGTGCCTGGATTGGGATGGTGAGTGGTGGCACCTTGAGCTGGCCTCTGGGGAGGAATCGATCCTGGCTGAGGGGATATCACCATTGCCGGTTGAGGCCGACGCTGATCGTTGCTCGGTTGCGGCTGAGCGTGTGAAGGTCGTTCTGCAGGACTCTGTCGTCCGCTTTGCGCCGCGGGTGGAGGGCCACCAACGGCTGGTGTTGGCCGCCCAAATGTTGAAACGCCGGATAGTTGCTCTTGCGCATTCGTCAATCCTTGCCGTGCAGGACTCTGTCGTCCGCTCACCGCCGCCCCGGATGGAGTTGGCCGCCCAAACGTCGAAACGCCGGATAAATGCCCCTGTGCATCTGTCTGTCCTTGCTGTGCAGGATTCTGGACTATGGGTGTTGGTTGCCCAAAATTCGACGTTACGGGCGCCTTCTGTGCCTTGTTGGTATTTTGTTGAGACTGTTGGGGCTGTTGGGGGGTGACCGGTGGTGGTTTAGCATCCTTCGCGACAAGCCAGACTTCCTCAACCGGCTTTAGCGGTGTATCTTGAGCTGCCTTTTTAACGATATCAACTCTGTATTGTAGCATCCTGGCTTTGTTATTCGCCATGTTGATCTGTACGGCGCTCTTTTTCCCTTCCATTAGCACTGCATGCTCCTTTGCAGTGTTCGCTTTGTTCTGGACTTCTGTTATTCGTTCGGTCATGGCCTTTTCATGATCTTGATTTAGCTGAGTAGATACTTCCTCTTTGGCTTTATTGACATGGATGCCAATGTTTTTCTTGACGATGCTTCGGACGATTTCGTTTGACTGGATCAAAGCTCTGGCTTCATCTTCAGATGGCTGCCATGGACCGCGAGGAGTATGATCTTCGTCTTTGACATTCGGATCATCATTGATGGTGTGTTTAGCTTGATGATTCATGCCCCATTCGTCTCTGAGCTTGGAAAACTTGGAGTCCGCACCTCGTCGAAGCTCTTCAATCTCATCTTTATGCCTGGCCTGCAGCCTGCTCATTTCTTGCTCATGCTCCGATTTGATTGATTGCAAAGCTTGTTCGTGCTCGGCTGTTAAGCTTTGCCGGAGCTGACCTTTGCCATCGGTCAATTTCTTACTGAGTTGAGCTTTCATTATATTCGTTCGTCTCTCCAATGTCTCCTCGTTTTGTCTGACTCGCTCGTCGTGTCGGGACTCTAGCTCGACACGGACTGCCTCGACATGCTCCGCGACTTGTTCTGTTACAGACTTGGATCCACTTTCGGTTGGAGCAGTAGACACAGCTGCATTGATCGATGCATTTGTGCGAAGGTCTTGAGCGTCTTGCTGAGCTTGAGCAAGATCAGCACGCAGAGAGCTCATGTGCGCTTCTACTTCACTGTTTGCAGGAACTGCTTGCTGCTGTTGGATCCTTAGCTGGGCCAATTCAGTGGTAGATGCGTCGATGCCCTCCTGCATTTGTTTCTAGATGGTGGTCAGCATTTCGTCAAGACTAGTCGGAAGCTTCAGTACTGACTATTTGCAGCTCCAATTCGGTAATTCTTGACCTTGACACATCCAGTTGGCTTCGGTTGTCGGCTGATTCTGATGTTGCTTCGTTGGCCCTCATCTCCGCTGCAGTAAGTTTCTCCTGAAGATCCTGTAAGTCCGGCTTGGAGGCCACCTCTTCTTCGACTTGGCCTTCCTCGCTCCCGTCCCGTGCACTTGAATCTGCAATTGCTTTCTGTGCAGTGGCCTTTTCAACGGCGGCATCTCTCTGCGCCCTGGTCGTTTCAAGTTCGACTTGTAATCCCGACAGAGCGGTAAGCCGATGCTCAAAGCTTGCTTTCTCGGTCATAGCTGTTTGCAGAGCGGTGTCCTTCTCCTTGATTTTGTCGCTCAGTTGTCTCGATCTGGCCTTGTATTGTTCGGCAAGCTTTGCCCGCATCGTCTCGATCTTTTCATTGCTCTGCTCCTGAACCTGAGTGATCTGGCCAGAGGCATTGTCTACTTGATCCTGCAAGCCCCTCTTTGCTGATACTAATTCATCGCGCTCAGCCTCTAGCGACTTGAGTTGCTCCTTCAAAGCTTCCAGTTCTGCGGGATCGACTCGATCGTACTTTTGGAGGACGTTCTGAGCCCGTTGCTGCCAGCGGTCGGAGTTCTCTTTGAGAAGCTTCATCTCGCCGTCCTGAGTTTCACGTTCGTTCTTGAGTTCCAAGATCTCCGCCTGCAAAGGCTCGATCTGAGCTTTGAGTTCTTCGACTTCTTTCGCCCTTACGGCCAATGCACTTTGTGCTTGACGAGTTTCGGCGCGTAATGTTACGCTAGACTCACGGAACGTGTTCAACTCATTGATTGTATCCACCAACTTATGGTGATCGAGATTCGAACGCTCATTGTCGGCCTCCAATCGTCTTTGCTGGCTAAGTCGCAAACGAGTGTCGTCCAGCTGTGACTGGGCGTAGTCAAGTTGCTGCTTCAACCTCTTTCCTTCTTGGGCAGACAACTCTAGTTGAACATCAACGATCTCCTTCTCGCGCCGCAAGTATTTGATGACCTCTTGCAGATTTTCCAGACCGGATGCTGGAATGTCCTCGCTTGGGCGCTCATCGCTGTTTGAGGGATGCTTTTTCAAACTGGCTATTTGAGCAGAGTAGGTCTCAATTTGTTGATGGAGGTGGTTGTTCTGAGCTGTTAGATTTTCTCGCCCAGTCTTGAGTTCTGCCAATTCTCTCTCATATCCCTGTCGCGACTCCGCCCAACTGTCTTCGCTCTGGTTGAGGCTTTTACGGGCAGATTCTGCGTCAGTTTTCAACGCTTTTATCTCTAGTTTCAATTCGTTGTGATCCGATCGGACCTTTTGCAATGCCTTTGCAGCATCCGCGTGTTTGACTAGTTCATTCTCGTAATTCTGTTGAGCTTGCTGAGCGATGTCAGCCTGGACCTTGAGATCTTCTTGAAAGAATTGGGCTGCGGCCGCGTGACGATCGTCTTGATCTTTTAGTTGTGCAAGCTCTGCTTCGAATCCCTTTTTGTGTTCTTCTAGGCGCCGCCCGTTTTCTGCTTGTGCATTGCGAAGGCTTGAGAGCTCCGAATTGGTGGATGCGAGCTCGGAGCTGGTGTCCTCAATTCGTTGCTCAAGTTCTCTGAGCTTAGAGTCTTTCTTTTCAATAAGCTTATCTGTTTCTTGCCGATACAAGTCCTGCGTCTCGTTTAGACTGAGCAATTCTTCTTCTGAAGCTTGACTGATCGCTTTGTATTGCTCGACCTGGCCTTTGACATTTTCGAGTTCACTGCGAGCTAGGTCAAGGTCGCGTTTGAGCTCCGAGACCTGGACTCTCAATCCCTGCTCTTTAGTCAAATTCGAGTCTTCACCGTCGAGGGATTGGTGTTGTAAATTTTCACCATCGTTGGTGTTCGGACGTCCTGAAGGTGCTGGTCGTAATGCATTGACACGTTCTTCTGCGCTCCGAAGCTCAATTGTCAACTCATCCACTCTAGTCGAAAGATGGTCTCGGATTGTCTTCGCGGCGACGAGCTCTTCGCGAGTGTTACCAAGGCTGGAGACTAGATCATCAATCCTCTTTTGACTCTGCTCATGGTCATATTCGCGCCGTTGAGCAGATCTCTTGTTTTCTTCCACCTCGTCGGAAAGCTTATTCTTCGTTGCTTGCAATTCTCTCTCGAGATTGTCGGCCTGGGTTTGGAGTCTTCGACGAGCTTCCGTGTCCGAGTGCTCTCGTTCATTCAACAGGGTCTGCAAATTAGCGTTCAGAGCGTTCAGCCGACCACGCTCGTTCAAAAGGTTCTCGTTATCCACGGTGATTCTCTTCTCAATTGTTTTCCAGAATTCCTTTTCTGCTTTTAGATTGGCTGTTTCATTGCGCATGCTGTCTGCAAGGCCTTTAGCTTCGACAAGTTCTTCAGCAACCTGTTGAACCCGCATATCCTGCTTGGCGGCCGTGTCTGATAATGCTTGCGATCTCTTTTGCAGTTCCGTATTCTCATTCTTGAGCATCACGTAGTTGCCTTGAAGCATTTCGTATCTTTCATGGGCAAGTGTGACCTGGCTGCTGTTTCGTACCACCTCGCTTCGAAGTTCACTATTGACCTTTGAAAGGCCATCCACTTGCTCCTTTAATGTTGATCGGTCTGTCGCAGCCTCGTGCCGATATGCATCGAAGTGCGCTTGAATATCTTTGTACAATTTTGCGTAGTCGGCTAGGTCTCTTGTTGTTGGTGAATCTTCAATGCTGTTAATGACAACAGCAGGCGTTGGGGTTTTGGGCGTTGCGGCTCCGTTGACAGACTCCCCAAACAATGAAGTGACGTCGGTGCCGGGAGGTAGTTGACCCCGGTGAGAGAGCATACGTCTGAACATGTCTCGCTCGCGAATGTAGCTTGAAGACTGAGTCATCAGAGACTTTATCTCGTCCTTGCAACGTTCGTATTTCTGCTGGAGGTCGTCCCAATCTCGAGTTCTCTCTGACTGCTTTTGGACGGCCTCCTCGTGCTCCATTCGCTCGCCAATTTCTCGGGTGATCCTGAGTAAGTTTGCGTTCTGTTCTTGAAGTTCGCTGACGTTCCTGAATGTGACGAGGTTCTCACTGATAAGACGATCAGTTGCGGTCGTGCCCTCCATCGCTTCCCCGTCAGCTTGCCCTTGCGCCAGGCGCTCTAGACGTGCTCGGCCATCCGCACCAAGGTCATCGAGGCCTTGATCACGTAGGTGGACTTCCATTAGGAAGACCTTGACCTGAGAGCTGAGATCGCGAAGCTGCTGCCGGAGTACTTCTCCTTCTTTGACTTTAGCCTCTAGGTGGCCTTCCCATTTCTTGGCTCCTCTAAGAGCCTGATCTCGTTCCTTGCCGATGATCTCTACCAAAGAAGACATCTCGGCAACTTCTGATTCTAAACGGATGTGGTCTGCACGTAGCTCCTCGATCTCTGGCTGCTCCGTTTCTAGGTCCTGTACCATGTCGTCAAGTGTCGAGGTGAGCTTCTCACTACGTCGTTTTTCCGCCTCAAGTTCGCTCTTCAGGTCATTGTAACTGCTGTACATCTGGGTAATGCTAAGACCCCCCTTAAAGCGCGATGGACTGGATGGAACCATAGGCGCGGAATCACCGCGAAGAGGTGTACTAGGGGCATGCCCGTTGGTACCCTGATGAGAAGCATTTTGTTTTGATGCTTGGCTTTGCAGTGTCGATAGATCAGCCTGGAGTTGCTCAACCTGGACCTCGAGTTCCGCAATCTTCGCATCCGCGCCTACTCTTTCCCTATGCTCGGTTTCAAGCTCGGCACCGAGTCTACCGAGCTGCTCAGAAGCATCTTCTTTAGCGGAATCTAGCTGGGCGAAGAGATCCTGCTGCCGTTGACGTTCCGTGTTGGCCGAATTCCTGGTCAGCTCAGTAAGGCGATTCGCCGCATCTAGCTCAACTCGAAAAGACTCGTCCTTCTTGGCAGCGTCTTCTTGCAACTGTTGGACGCGGGTGAAGGAGTCATCAGCTTTCTGACTGAGCTCATCAAGTCTCCTGCGTAAAGTCGTCTCGGTGCGATTTGCGGCATCGATTGTGCTCGTGGCATCATCAAGTTGACGTTGTAGATCGGTGATACGTAGACTCTTTTCTTTGCGGTACTTCGTGTATTCCCCAGACTTGGTTTTCAATTCTTTGTCCAGCCAATCGTTGTTTCTCTTTAGCGATTCAATTTCCTGCTGAAGACCTTGTTCGTGGAACCTTGCGCTGGTCGACGCGGCGTTGGCTGATTGTGCTGACTGTTCCAGGTTTGAGACTTCACGGCGGAGCTCCACCGTTTTCTGGTGCTGAGCATTGAGCTCTTGGGCCAAGTTGTCATGAGCTGTTGTTTTGGATTCAAGAAGCGAGAGAGTGTCCCGGTTTGAGGACTCCAGTGACGTAATCCGAGTCCTCAAAGTAGACAATTCAGTAGTGATGGTGGAGGTGGATGTTCGCAGATTCTCAAGCTCAGTCTCCACAGACGCCCTCGCCGTTTCTGGAGAAGAAATTAGCTCACTGAATAGGCACAACCTGGACACCACCTACCCTCTGCTTGAAGTTTCTGCCTCAGATCTGTGGCCTCCTTGAGCCCCTTGTCGATTGAGCTTTTCAGAACCCGGCTCTTGGTTTCACCGCCACGCACTGCATTTTCCAATTCCACGCCTAGCTTGAGTATTTCAGACGCGAGATCATTGTGCTCATGTGCTTTCACAGATATGTTCTCCAAAAGTGTACGGACAAGGCCGGCAGTAGGTGCGTCGAGAAGTGTGTCGATTGATTGCTGTGGTAAGGAACAAAACGACGAAAGCTGTGCCACGTCTAGTTGCGCGACTGCCATTGTGATTACTCAAATTCAAGCTCAGTCTCGTCGATTTGGTCGTGTCATGAAGTTTGAAAGGTTGATTCACGGTATGAAAGTGCACTCGTTTTGAGTGTTGTTGGTGATTCTAAAGGAATGTAGGCCTCCTCAGGCTGAGTCAGTGAATGTCTTCTTCATACGCTGTCGAAACTCCGCACAGGCATCCAGCCATAGCGTGTGTCAAAGCAGGCCAGGAAAGTGTGCTTGGAGGATTGATCGAAGCCGTGTCTTTTGTGTTGATCTCATGCTTTACTTCCGCATCTTTCACCAGACAAAGCCGGCTAGGCTAGCTTAGCGTGTCTCGGCGCGCTAATTAAGGTAGTGACACTTTCCAACGAGGGATTCTGTGCCTACTCCTCTATTTTATACCGTTTGTTCAATATATTCATCTTTGGGCAAGGTAGCCCGCAAAGTCTGCTTAGCCCGCGGGCTATTCATCTACAAGCCATGTCGTACCTCGACAACCAAATTAGCGCTTTCAAGTCAAACCTCACTTCGTCCTCTAACAAACTCTCAAATAAGCGTACGGCTGCTGCTCCCGCAAACTCTACCACATCACCTGCACCATCACAAGCCTCAATAACAGTCAAGAACGATCTTAAGCGCAAGCGGGTGGAGCAGCCCAACACGGTCTTCTCGCAGCCAAAAGACACAGGCACCGGCTCCCATATCATAACTCAGGTCACCTATGCGCTAGAAAAGCTCAAGGAAAAGGATATTCAGTGGACGTGGCAAAGGTTGGGCGAGTATTTGTCTTTGCATGGCCGTGAGGAAGGGTACGGGCAGGCTTTGAAGAGAATATTGATCACCCATGACAAGGTGAAGTACCAGCGAGTTGATGGCAAAGGGGAAGACTTTTTCTCTTTCCGGCCAATCCACGATATTCGGTCTGCCGACGAATTGCTGGGATTTTTACAATCTCAACCTACAGCTCAGGCCCTTAGCGTTAAGGATCTGAAGGACGGATGGCATGGTGCGTTAGATGCGATAGACGATCTTGAGAAGCAGGGCAAGCTTTCCGTGACCCGGCATAAGAAAGATGACAGTCCCCGATTCGTATGGCCAAACGATCCATCGCTATTTTTCCCAATCGATCAGGAGTTCAAAACAATGTGGCAAAAGATAAAATTGCCCGAGCCTGGAGCACTGGCAGATGAACTGGAGCGCGAAGGCTTAACGCCTGCGAACAAGAGTCGCTCCGTCAAAGCGAAGCCAGTAAAACAAGAGAACAAGACGAAGAGAGCGAGGAAGGGTGGAAAGACGACGAATACTCACATGGCGGGGGTATTGCGAGATTATTCGCATCTCAAAAAATGATGGATCACGTACTATCGTGCAAGCGCCTTGCTAGCAAGGTGTCCGGCGCTGGAAATGCATCGATGATCCCAGGTTTGAAAATATTGCGGATTCGGATCGAGACCATGATACCCCAAAAATAGAAAAATTGAAGCTATACACTGCATTACATTCGCAACTCATTAGACGCAATGTTACGATCGCGTTGAATCTTTACGCACACCAAGGAAGTAATTCCCCCATTTCTCCCCACCCGGCACCATCCTCCATCCTACCGCGGGCATATACATGCACCCTTGGCTTTTCAGTCCCCCGTCTCTTCCCCATCCATCTTGTGCGCGAAAGAATCTCCTCAACTCCTGCTCATTGATGTATTTGCTCCAATCGTGCGTTCCCCTCGGAACTAACCTCACCACCTCCTCAGCCACGACGTTAGTCGTCAACCAACTTGTCCATGTCCTCGCGATTGTGCTGAGGATCAGCCATCCACCAGGCTTGACGAACGGTAGACAGGAGCTTAGAAAAGGTGCAGGCCGATTGATATGCTCAATGACTTCAAATAGACTCACAACATCAAACTGTTCTTCTGGTATCCGAGGGATTGGCAAATCCTCGACAGCTTTGTTCTGATATTCTAGCCGTCCCGGCTCAAGAAGGAGAGGGTCTTGGCGTGCGTGGGCCTTCGCAACTGAAATGACTTGGCTGCTTGGGTCAACACCCACCACGCTCTTTGTCCACAAAAGTCGAGCAGCACTCTCGGCGAATATGCCGCCACCACAGCCCACGTCGAGATAGCGCCTATTGGTCGAAGAAGTCGGGTCTGGTTGTGACTCAATGCAAGACGAGATGAAGTCATGACGGAGAGGATTCATTTGATGAAGGAGACGAGATGAACCATAAGGATCCCACCATGTCGAGGCTAGATTATTGAAATGAGATACTTCTGCTGCGTTTACAGAAGAGCTTTGAGAGCTCGACCGGCATTGGGTGGGTATGCGGAGAAGTCTTGAGAGATTGCGCGAGGTTGTAGGTCGAATGACCATGACTGGTTTTTGAAGTGAACCTGTGAGAAGCCTCTGTTTGGTGATTATGTCGAATGGTCAAAGACAAAGACTAAAAAGTCAAGAACCATGTATGATAGAGAAACAACATGAGGCCTTTTGCTTTATCTTAGATAGACAATACAGTCCATGCTCTCCACACTGGTTGAAAGTCTTGAAGTGGAAGAACTCAATATTTGAATTTGAAACGAACTTTCCGAGCGCAGCAATGGCAGGATACCGGAACGGTATCTGATACCTACTTAACTTAGAATGATCACTTTTCATACTTCAGGTTGTCAGCGCAACGCCGCAGATGCAGAACGCCACTGCTAGGCCGCGATAGCCGCGCGTGTAGAGAGTTCATTTTCTGATGTCTTTCTCTAGCTCTACTTAACCAAGGGCGGGTTTCTGGTGGACGAAATGAAGCTTGCAGCCACCGGTAGAGCTGTGAGGCTCGCCTGGGTTGAACGGTCGGGGATCGAGTTGAGGTACAAAACAAGAATTTGGATTGGTGGCAGTCATTATCAGCGCAGGCATCAATCTACAAGTAAACATGGCCAATTTAGCATACAGAGACAGTACTAATACCATGTAGACGCTCCGAGAACTCCTAGTCTCGAAATCGATGGCAAATGCTACGTTACCGACGATTGGACCAACGTCCCATCCTCGATCCTTTCATATCTTCCCCACAAATTGCAGCTCCAGCCCTCACACCCGGTATCAATAACGCGCCAAGTCATTGAATCTAACTTTCCGTCCCCAACATATACACACTACAATGATCTTCATCCGATTGTCACAGTCGCCGAGAACTTCGACTCCCTCGGCTTCCCTAGGGATCACCCAGGCAGAAGTCGTACTGATACGTACTATATTAACAAAGATACTGTATTGAGGACGCACACCAGTGCTCATGAAGCAGAGATCTTTCGACGTAACAAGAGTGAAGGTTTTACAATCAGCGCAGACGTATACAGGAGAGATGCTATCGACCGAAGCCATTACCCTGTCTTTCACCAGATGGAGGGAGCGAGGATGTGGGATCGACGAAAAGTGCCAGGAGGGGACGTGGCGAAGGCCGTCAGGACCGATTTTGAGAGGCTGCCGAAGCACAGTCTATCAATCGAAGACCCAAACCCGACGACTCACGCGGAAAGAAATCCCCGGCAGGCAGAACATCACAGCCCAAAGGAAGTGGAAGCTATCGCCGCCCATTTGAAAAGATCGTTAGAAGGAGTTGTGGTGGAGCTTTTTTCGAGGGCTCGGAAAGCTGCTATTGCCGCTGGGCACGTCGATGCGAATGCTCTGGAACCCCTCAGGGCTCGCTGGATCGAAGCTTATTTTCCATTTACGAGTCCTTCCTGGGAACTCGAGGTCTTTTGGCAAGGGGATTGGTTGGAGGTTCTCGGGTGCGGCGTCACCAAGCAAGACGTCCTTATCAATGCTGGGGTACCAGATCAGATAGGCTGGGCGTTCGGTGTCGGACTGGAGCGAGTCGCTATGTTGCTCTTCTCAATACCAGATATTCGACTGTTCTGGTCGAAGGATCCACGATTCTTGAATCAATTCTCGAGCAAAGAAAATGTCAATACCTTCGTCCCGTTTTCGAAATATCCCGAGTGCTATAAGGACGTATCGTTCTGGCTTCGAAGCTCCAGCAGCAGCACCGGTGGTGGAATGAGGAGCAATGCCCAGGACTTCCACGAGAATGACGTGATGGAGGTTGTTCGAGAAGTCGGAAGCGACTTAGTCGAAGATGTGAGGCTAGTCGATAACTTCCAGCATCCTGTTTCTGGGCGGAAGAGCCTTTGTTATCGAATAAACTATCGAAGCTTAGAGAGGACGCTTCGGAACGAAGAAGTCAACCAGCTGCACGAAAGTGTGAGGAAGCAGCTTGTCGAGAAACTGGGTGCTGAGCTGAGGTGACATGGGTTAACATGGAACATGGGTTGATGGGCGGAGCCAGTATTTGCATACTGTATGAAGGAGAAAAACGAGCTCTATGACTCGAGTGTTGCTTCATGCCGGCAGAAATGCAAGGATACCCCCAACATAGAGGGGAGTAGTAACTGTACAGCGCTTCGCCCACAAGAAAATAAATACAAGAGCTGCACCTATGACAGGCACTCATCACAAAGTCGTCTCGTCACTCAGCCATTTTTTACCACTCCAACCTTAGCAGCCTAACAATAGAATTAGTCTCAATACCTCAGAAAGTACAAGCCAGATACACTCACCCTTATGACTCTGCCGTTCAGCATGAAGCCCTTTTGTTGCGTCATAAAGACACTCCCATTATCCTTCCCCTCCACCGGCGTTTGGAACGTAGCCTCGTGCAAATTCGGATCGAATTGTTCCCCATTCTCGCTCGGGTCGAATCTCTCAAGTCCATGCTTCTTGAGCGTTTGCATCAATATTGTCTCTGTCATCCTCAACCCGTCATACAGATGCACCAGCTCTTTGTTACTCTCAGCTTGCCCCAATTTCTCTGAAGGCACGGTGCCGAGCGCTCGGTCAAGGTTATCGACGCTCTCGACCAGGTCTTGAGCAAAACGGGAGATGGCGAAGTCGCGGGCTGATTGAACGTCGCGCTTTGTGCGTTCTTGAAGGTTGCGGAAGTCTGCTACCGAGCGGAGATACTTGTCCTACATATCGACGTGTGAGGTTGCGAGAGGAGATCAACATTGGGGTTTTCTCAGCTTGGGGCGGACCTTTAAATCAATGATCTCTTTACTCTTTGATTCGAGTTCTTTTTTAACCGGATCGTTGTCCTTGATCTCTGAGTGTGAGACCTCCGCCGCCGCTGTAGCATCGGAGCTGGCACCATCTTTGGGCGTGTCTGTTGAGGAATAATATCTTGCAACTATCCTCTCCTGAAGCGGATGTATGCGTGATGGGGAAATTTGAGATCTTATGGGTGAGGCAGTAGGTGTGTAGCGCGACTTTGCACAAAATGCTCGTGACTGTCGAAGTAGACTTCGCTGGATCATAATGTGGATGCGAAGTGGACGCTTGCAATGCTTGGGAAAACAGCAACGCCCGAAGTTTTTTGGTTCGACTTGAGATCTGCGTCATTCGGCAGTGGCGACTATCGCGTCAATGGGGCCAGAGCACAAAACTTCATTCCTTCCTACGTGATTACCTTGACTTCGAATTCATGGGTTCATTAGTAGCTGAAGAGAATCTGATTTCCCCCGTCGATTCGCAGAACAGATGCGCCCTGTCAAAGGCTCAAACCCGCTCCAAGTCTCCCTCAACTTATCGCAAGCCTTGCGACATTTGTCACGCCCCAAACGATGTCCTGGTACGTTGTAACATCGACGACACATCCGTATGGTACTTCGTCTGCACTAAAAACTGCTGGAAAAAAGTCTCCGGTGGCGTCATTGATGGAAGCCCGCATCATCTGTACTACAGATACGGTGGTATGTGGAAGAACAAGCACGCAGGTGTTAGTGCGAAGAAGCCCAAACCCAAACAGCGTGTAGCTGTTCGAGATTGGCAGGATCATACAAGCTACGTGTTCAATGACAAGGTCACATACGAAGGAAAGGTCTGGAGCTGTCGAAGAAGCCACACAAGCTCCGTAGCAAACGTACCGGGCAAAGGCTATGGCTTTTGGAAGGAGGCTGAATAGCATATGGCTGTCTATGGACAAGTGGTGGACGTCCTGTGGCCACTGGTGGTGCTCCAAGCAGAATGAGTAGACGGTTCCTGGCAATCGCGTTTACTATGGGTTGGCGAAGAGACTGCGCACGTCTGGTTGAAAGTCAAAGATATAGCAGAGGAAAGGCATCAGATCTGTTAATCCTTTGATGTGCTCTTACCCAAAATGGAGCGCTGTCTTTTGGACCAATTCCGGCCCAATACAAGCAGCTAGCTCTGCCGCGATCCCTTTAATTGACGCCGAATCGGATGTCTGACTTTCGTCCCAGCCAGCTAGGTTCTGTTCGACATGTTAGCAGCATTCGTGATGACAGAGCGCTCAAATATGACGCTGTCTTTACCTTCAGCTTAAGGAGGCGTTGCCCGAGTTTTAAACTCCACTGACCAAGGTCGACTTTCTCATCTAACTCCTCCAAGGACAAAGCTCCTGGCGTGCCTGCGTGAAACACATTCGATACTTCTTCGCCCTCGGAGTCCTGTTTTTGGTCCTGCCCATTAATGTACTCAAGGGCGAACTTGAATTTGCTGGGACCCATGTTCAACTCTTTTCGAAAGCTCGAGGTTGTTGTCCGGTCAGACTGCAGGAAAATCGTAAGAGAATTGGAGGAGACTTCTAGTACCCGCTCAGCAGCCATAGACACCCATTTACGTGTTGAAAGACGTTGCATCATCTCCGAGTCCAGAGGATCCCAGACGTTTGACTGAGGGTCTAGTATTGATGGACAATAAGCAGACTTCTACGTAGAACTAGTGGAAGACTTACCGACCTAGGATGTACGTTGGATGGAATGTTGCTTTGTACCGCATCTTGATACATGAATGGATGTAGTAGCCTAGCCGAAGAGTCAATCGATCGGGATGAGCTTGGAACTCTTTATAATATGTACCGACCCATGTAGTAGTACTCATAGTCGCCTTCAAGCGCTAGAGAGATTTCTCGAAGTGCGGAAATTTTGCCAAAATTCCAACCATTGACCTCTTCATGGTACCTGTCTTGATGTGAGCAAGACCGCAGTTCGTATCCTATGGTTAGGCAAGCTACATGAGATAAACAGAGCTCACACAGTGAGGAAGGAGATCGAGTACCCCTAGAGCAATCAATTTTCCATCTAATCGGTAGCACTGGTGATAGGAGCCGATCTTCTTTGCTTTGCCATGATGAATACGAGTACTCCGAGGTAAGCCGGAGCAAAGGAAGCGCTTGAAACCATTTTTTGAAATATCAGAAGGACCTTCATGATGGACCTTTTTCTGATAGTTTGCAAAGAGTGCGTATCTGTATGGGGAATTGTCAGAACAGCATACGTCAAAATAATCAGGGGCATTTCACACTTCTCCTCGGTGAAGTTGTCTGGCTCTAGGGCTACTTCGAATTCGTGGGCTGGTTCAATCGGCTCTTTCGTCCGAGTGTCGATTGGCCGTCGCATACAGTGATACTCGGACTCATGAACAGCTTCGTAGACATCAAAGTTGTTTTTGCGATGCCTCTTCTCCCTGTCAAGGGGCGCGACGACGTCAGCCGAGACTCAGCCTCAATTCCTGGTCCTAATCTTTGTCTTGGTCGACTTCCCAAGCCGTCTGCACTTCGATCAGGGCACTTACTCCCTACTCTTTGGGCAGAATCTAGCAGCCTTATGGGTGTAATCTTGTCCCACTACGTACTTGTTCCATCGATTGACCGCTTGACGTTGGTCTCTTCTTGAATCAAATGCCGTCGCATCTAAGCTGGATGACTGATAAGTAAATATCATGGAAAGGACTGAATCTCAAGATACCGAATAGTGTAATGTGGACAGCACGAATGCCGATTGTCAGGCTTGTAGTAATATGTGCCAGATCTAAGAGACGTCAAGCATAAGCCAGACACTCTCCAAAAATGCCGAGGACGGAGAAGATCAAGATATAATACCGGCGCCAGCCTCGATCTACCAAGATCTGATAGACAGAAGGGTGTAGAGAAGTAGACACGAGCCCTACAGAAGCGCCTGAAGAAGGACTGATAATCAGCTTGGACCTGAGGCTGATATACGAAGACAAGGGAGAGGCAAGCCGAAAGCGGGCGTGGTACTGGAAGGCTGACGGGTGCGTTTTGGTTTAGAATGGCAATAGCCGCAACTACTTCGCTGATAGCCTTTATCCCAATCAGCATGCCACTGCTGAGCCATAAAATTATGCAGTTGTTCGGAAAAGGAACGTGAGAGTGAAGGACATAGGGTGGGGGAAAATATGAGCCAGCCAAAGCTGCACGGGGGCTTGATAGAGCTCGGGTGGCGTGGTATCAGGGGCAGCTCACCGGTAGGAGTGAGAAAGGAAAGGGAGTCTTCCATGGCGGGAGCTGGGAGAGACTGCATGACAAGCCTGTTCTTCTAACTTGGACGGATAGGTAATGGGCTTGAGTGTTGAGATACTTTATGGAATTGAGATAGCCGCCGAACTTTCTACTTCAAGTACTTGAATCTGGTGGGGGTCAAACTTGAAGTGTTGTATGATAACCTTCCACCATGCCAGCTTCCCTGGACTCGAGTGTGATTATTGTAAAGTGAAGTATTATTTATGATGAATAAACCCGAATGTTCTATAGAAATACCGTAGATGCCACCTTATTACATGACACAATTAAAGCGCACGGTCCTTAGACGAAATTCGTTCACAGTCCTACCGTCCTAAGTACGGAGACTGGTCTGACCATTTAGCAATTACATAGCACGTTTAGCATAGTAGGGTGGTGCGGATGCACCTCGATGATCCAATCGGAATATTGGGCCTGCATAGAATGATGCGCCCCCATGCATAGAATATCCATGACGGCCGAGAATGAGTGATGATAGGTCAATCTGAAGCATTACCTTTGCTTTCCCACAAGCTGTGCGATGGGAGTCGGTGCTACGAGTGAGTTGATTGTGGGCAATTTGATTCATAACTGCAGACGATGGAGAGAGGAGTGCGTGAAATCGACGGAGACCATCCGCATGCACATGCCTGCACTACAATCTGCGCAGCTGTACTCTACTCTCATTAAGGCAGGACAGCGTCGAGAGAGTCGCGAAGACGGATTGCTGATTCAACGAATTGTGTACTAGCAATTACTTGGTGTCTATCATAGCATGTGGGGGTCGACGATGTCGGAGCAAAAACATGCAGCCCAGGCGAGTGCCTGGTGTGATGGTCCCTTCCACTTCATCTCCCCGCCCACGTTTATTGTTCCGTGTTCCATTCTAAAATTCAATAATAATATTAACACTTCCACCAAATAAATAAAAAATGCAGACGCCTTCTGACGACAGAATAATACTCCATCCTCAAACCCGTCCCCCACGGGTTTGAAGGAACCTGTTCTCCAGCCTCCGAAACCACTGCCTTCCGCCTTGACCTCTCCACCTTCGTGTTGTCTTCCTTCCCTAACCCAAGCCTCTTCAATTGCCCTACCGCCTAATTGACATACTCCGGTACCCAGAGTCATTCTCCAGTGTGTCTCCAAACAAGGTCACTACTTTAGCACCGCAGTCTCTCGCTTCAACACCCCAGATACAGCGCACGAGAAGCTCTCCAGGACCTATCACCAAAGCCACAGTCAGATTCTCAACATGGCTCAGAAGCTTGCTTCTACTGCTCGCACTGGACGGGACAATCAAAGTGAGTCCAGCCTCAGACTTCTAATATAGACCCACTACTTGCAATTTTCCGAGGCAAGCACACTGCGGTAGATGTTCAAATTTCTGGTCAGCTGGCTAACATTTCTTCCTCGACAGGGTATGGCGCTCATGGCGAGCGACTCGTTGCTGGTGTAGTCCCTCTCTCTAGCGACAAGAAAAAGGTTCTGCTCATTCAGTCTGCACGTCGAGGTGGCTGGGTACTCCCCAAGGGTGGTTGGGAGACCGATGAAGGGACCGCGGAAGAAGCAGCTTGTCGCGAGGCTTGGGAAGAAGCTGGGATTGAGTGTAAGATACAGCGCGACCTCGGCAAGATTCCCGACAAACGTTCGCCAGAACAGCTTACGGCCCATGCACCAAAGGCGATCTTCCAGTTTTACGAGGTCAGCGTTGAGAAAGAGGCAACGCAATGGCCGGAGAAGCACAAGAGAGGAAGGCAGTGGATGTCGTATCAAGAGGCCAAGGATGCATTGGCTCCAAGGCCTGAGCTGCTGGATGCCTTGAACAAGAGCTCGATCGTGCGGTAGTCGTGGATAGATGGGACCAGAATCGAGACCACGGAACGGAAAGAATATTTGTAATGGATATGACAGCTTACTAGCCGCTGCTTTAAGCCAGCATGCTGGAGACAGTAAAGCATCATCACATAGAATGGGCGGCTTTTTCAGGTGGAGTAGCTTCCTCTTCCGTTTTCCTGCTGCGTATACATTACCACTATCCTCCACCAATAGAGTGCTAAGAGGTGGCTGATGCACTCGTCATTGCGTACAATTACCAGTCTTCGTGTATGCACACACATGAAGCCAGTGGCGACAAACATTACATGTGCCACGACGTGTTGTGAATTGGACTCCTATGTTCACTATCATAAGGCTTCCAGGCGAATCATGTCATGATTGGGCTAAGAGCAAGTAATGTTCGTGCAATGCGGGAAAAGTGCTGTAACATGCCTTTCCGACCAGGTAATCCAAAGATCCTGAATTCCCGAGACCTTGTGTCACCCATCCACATCTCTCTAAATCCCATCAAACCACATTTTCCATTGATTCCTTGGTGTGATTCAAGTCTTGCGAGGAATGGGCCACGCCAGAGTAACAGTTCCTTCGACAGAAATGACTTTGCATTGAAAGCTACATCAATACGCAAGACATCCAGCCGATTCACAATTCTAGTCAAGTGTTGTTGGAGGACAGAGTTTGCCTGCTCTAAACATTTCGCGTAGGCACCCACGCCTTCCGTTTTTTGTGAATACCTGCACCCTGCCTCTTTGGGCCAGCACTTCGATATAACACTTCGCCTTGGACAAAACATTCTCAAGACTGAGCACATCCTCACAACAAACAGGTTTCTGCGACAGAGCCACTCGTCTGTCGCATAATGGGCAGACTCACTTACATTAATGTAAGCAATAATGCAGCTTCACTGTAGATACAAGACTGATACCTATTGTCACAGCGGAAGATCGAGGGGTTGAAACTTGGAACGGCGATATCGAGAGACCTGGTATTGCCCTTCGGACTCCACGCTTGCGGAACTGTGCAGCTGGACCTGACTAGGCTAATGCTTCATTAGGTCAAACGGATTCCACCAAGTGCTGGGTCAAAGGCGGCTTTCAGAGACCCAGTTGTCGAGCTTGATGTCTCTGGAAAAGGCTTGACTGATGAAGGTTTTGCTGAAGTAGCGTCGGCATTAGTAGAGTCCCTGAACTATGACGGCGACCAAGGCAGAATAGTCCGGCTGGAGGAGCTTTGCTTGACAAACAATCGGCTGAGTGCCACGTCACTCCAGGCTCTATCCCCCATTATCAGATTGGCAAGCAACGACCTAAGAGACTTGGACCTTTCTGGAAACAGCATCACCATCAACACAGAAGCCGAGGTTGCGATTTGGGAAGATTTTCTAATGTCTTTCAGCTCTTGCTGCCTTCTTCGGAGAATAGACCTCAGCCGCAATGCATGGGGGCCTAGGGTTTTCGAGGTGATGATTAGAGTCTACGCAAAGCAAGAGGCCGTGGATCTAGTGCTCCCTGCAGACCTTGAGCAAATTCAGAGTAAAGAACGAAGAACGTCTACGGATATTGCTGGGCTTGGGCGAGGAATGAGAAGAATGCGTGTTGTCTCGGATCCAGACGATTGGGGAAGCGACGAGGACAACAGCCCAAAGTCTGACGGACATAAAGGCTCTAGACATGGTTTGTCAACGGCCTCGTAGTTGGCAGACCTGGTTGACTTTCTGTTCAGGTTCGAAATTCCCCCAAAAGGCTGGTCTTCCTCCTTCCCAACTAGAATCGCCACTCACATACGCTACCACTCGGGGACTCAGATCTGTCCCCTATATTGTGCTGTCTAACAGCGAAATGACAGAAGCTGGCGCATTGCACCTTTCTTACATACTTGCAATTCACCACGTCCCTAAAAGACTCCTGACTCGAGTCCCTCACGCAAAGGCTGGTGCTTCCGCACAGCAGTTATTATCTTACGATCAGTCACAATGTCGAGGCATCATCTATCTCCCAAATCCACTACTTGGCAGTGCAGGTCACAAAGTGTTAGAGCTTGCGGAAGTAATGCGGGATGGCTATTTAGACTGTTTGGCGGACGATTCCCCTGAGTTCCCCAAGACTCCAATCATGTCCACCAACATGTTGAAACGGGCATCTGGGTCTCACCCCGGACTCGGGGCTGGTGCATACGACAGACGATGTCGTAATACTGCCTCAACAGGGCTTTCTGACCAAGCAGGACAGGATGGTCTTATGGGAAGCGAGCTTGATAGAGCGAGAAGTAGGATACAAGGGACCACGCTGCAACACGCTGGACCCCAAAGCAACGATCTCTGGCGAGCAGCGTTTAAGATGCTTTCTTTGGGCCGGGAAATCCGGCCACAGACGAGAAACGAACCACTGCCTCGACCACCGGCGCCGAAAACTAAGACTCCAATCGTCAGGACACTCAAAGTCCCCGGGATTACTCCCAAGACACTCAAACCGTTGACGCCGCTGACATTACAACGGGATCCTAACCAGCTAATCACACCCTGGACTACACAATTCCCCAAGAAGAGCGGCTGTCTTCCCTCTACACCAATTGTCATTCCACTAACTCCATTGACTCCCAGGCTTCCGGTCGTCTCGGCCCCGCTACTTACGGAGACAGCAATTTATCGCACAAAGCTTCCCTGTGGGCTTCCGGAGTATATTTGGAGACGGATCCTTGGGCTGGCTGCGGGAGCTGAAGGTATCATGAGTGTATCTCAGCAGCAATCTGTACTAAAATGGGCAATGGATAGAAAGACACTGAGACAGGAGAGTGAGTCACTAGGGCTTAGAACGAGCGCTCAATGCTGGAAGATTCTTGAAGCCACAGGATGTTTGGCGTATGAAATGGACAAGCCTTGAGAAAGGAAAGAGTGCTGTCAGATACCGGTTGCCTTAAAACCCAAGATCATTTGTTGCAGAGCTAGATCTTCCAAGAGCATTTGACAGCTCTCGCGCTTCCGTAAAGTAATGATTGACCCTGAACTGAAGATTTCCATCATCAAACATGGAGAAAAGCTCTCCGCCTAGGGCATTGATGTAGGGCTGAGTCCTTTACACGATGCGCCGTTGGGGAAATCTCACATTTGGATATATGAATCAAGCAGTCAATAACATCACATTCCTTTACTACAGATCAGACGTTCCTTCACACTATCAGACCAACCTAAAACAAGTTCCCCCCTACCTACCCATTCTCGCTATTTGGTGGTCATCTAAGAAGAGTTGGAACAGGCCCACAATTGGATCGACAGGACCACCAGGACTGCCGAGAAAGCTGCCACGGTCTTGATATCTGCAGACGAGCGGTAGCAAAGCACAAGGACTATATCTAGTATGGGCCTGGGGGCGATGCCCCGACGTCAGTACGAGGCCACGTGGCTCGGCTTCCCCATGAAGCAGGTCTCTTTGGTTACGGTGGGCAAGCAGCAACCATTTGAAGACAATGGGAGTATACTGACAACGTTGCAAAGCTCACTATCCAGAATTCCGCACTTATCTTAGTATGTCGCTCACAACTGATTTCCGGCAATTTCTGCTCTGACTGCCTATTTAGCTTCTACATTACTCACGCATCATGCCACTAATAGCCGGCCAAAGATATCTTACATCCACGGCAGTGTTCATGAATGAAGTTATCAAGCTAACTGTATGCCTCACCTTTGCCCTCTACGATATATCACGAACCATTTCGCCTTCCCTGCCTGCCACCAGCCTGTTCAGCGGCGTAACAAGCGCAGTTTTCACAGGAGACAGTTGGAAGCTGGCAGTTCCTGCTAGCCTTTATGTTCTACAGAATTCCTTGCAGTACATAGCGATTTCAAATCTGGACTCTGCAACCTTCCAGGTCACGTACCAATTCAAGATTCTCCCAACCGCGATATTCAGCGTCTTATTGCTGAAGCGAACTCTGTTCCCACGGCAATGGTTGGCTCTCGCACTCCTGATGGTGGGCGTCGCCATCGTGCAGATACCCGCAAGTGACCCTGCATTGGCGCCGTTCGAGGCTCCGCGATCCAGATTTTATTTCTCTAGGTCTTTGCACAGTTGGAGGCACATTGGAGGCTCGGCGGCAGCTCCTTTGCACAAACGATCCGCAACTTATGAGGGCATACAGGAAGATGAAGGACTGATCAATCCGCAAATGAACGCGATACTTGGACTTGCGGCTGCAATTTCAGGCTGTATTGTTTCTGCTGGGGCTTCTGTTTACTTTGAGAAGATCCTGAAAGATTCAAACACGCCAGCTTCTCTGTGGATTCGGAACGTGCAGTTGGCATTTTACTCGCTATTCCCAGCTCTATTCATTGGAGTGATGTTCGTGGACGGAGAGGAGATCGCCCATCATGGCTTTTTCGTTGGCTATAATTGGTTCGTATGGATCACCATCGCCTTTCAGTCATTGGGAGGCATCTTGGTCTCGCTTTGTGTCAAATACGCGGATAACATCGCCAAGAGCTTTGCAATGAGCATCAGCATCTTGATCAGCTTGTGTGCCAGCGTTTGGTTCTTTGAATTCGCTGTCACTGCAAATGTAAGCTTTCACCGTCACCAAGCATCAGTGGGTGGTGGTATGACCATCAGCTAACCTCCGATGCATAGTTCCTCATTGGCACCTCCATAGTCGTATTTGCAACCTACTTATATAATAGCGTCTACGAGCGAGCGCCACCTCCACCTCCGATACAAATACACAGCTACGAGAAAACAACCATCGATGAGCAAAAGTCAAGAGAGAATGAACCACCGCTCAGGTTGCCCACAACTCCATTGAAAAGCAGCGAGGGGTTGTCGTCGTCACGGCCCGGTTCGCCTTTGGGTCACCATTCGAGAGTTGGATCTGCAAGAGCGTATTTCGGCGCCAAAGATCGAGATGAATAGGCTAATCGCTTTGAATTGTACGTTCTCATCACCGGGCGTTTCTGGAAGTACGCATCATGAGGTGGATGGCTTTCTGAGGTCGCATTACGAGGCTGCATAGCTCTATGTGTATATGTGTCCTGACTCCTGGGGACCAAATGATAGTCTCCATCGTCGCTTGTTCCACAATTACTCGCTGTGGTCATTAGAACCGGCGGGCGGGGGGTCGGTATGCAAAACTGGTCCGTGGCGTTCAAAAACTTCGCAAGACAATGAGGTACTGCTCTTGGAAATCAAGTCATATCTCATAAGAACGATGAGACTCTTTCTCAAAGAACAGTTTCAATGTGGTACTTCTATCGCTTTGACTAGGTAAATTTACGCTAGTCATTACTGTACAATAAGTGCGTCTCCCCCATCTCTTGGCAATCGCTTCCCCTCCACCAGTTAAGATGGTGCAAACAATGAGTACCGTAATTTATCTCTTGTCATTTGAAAGTCCCACTCATCTTGATTGCTAATTAAGCACAGCATGGAGGGCTACCAAACAGATATTCAAGCTCTCCTGCAAGACATCAGTGGCAACTATGGAAATTCTGAAACTAAACAGCCACCTCCCCCATATTCGAGACCTATCTCAAAGTCCTACAAAACTCAAGCAGAACGTTCTTTAGTGCCAAGGAATGCTTTAGCCCCCGTCTATGAACAGCAGCTGCTCCATGGAGCCCAGGCTTCGAGACCTTCAGATGCCTACTTTCACAGCAGTAACACCGACACTGGCCTTGATGCATATGGTAGCTGCTCAACCCTGGGAACCGAAAGAAGAACCGCTGATTACTGCCTAGATCGAGCCCTTCTAGCCGAGCCTCAACCTCATTCGTACTGGCAGGCGAACAGTAGCATGAGAATGCTACCAGCTGGACGTCTCTCGTTACCTGGCCACACAGCACCGCATCCGCCTGTGAATGCATTGCAGCAACCAAAGGCTCAAGAACGGCGACGTGGTCGGTCTCGCCCAGGCTTGCTTATGATTCGTTGCTGACAGTCACTAGCTCTGCCTGGGCTCTCTCCACCCGAGGTTCAGTTACGACTAGGTTAGCCCAATGCTCTGTCCCTTGGCATTCCAAGTCTTACAATGACCACAGCTCGATATGCACATACTCCACCTGCTCGGATTCGTGAGAGCTCACCTCCCTCGGACGCGCTTCCATCAAGTCCATCTTTCGTAGCCACTCAGCGGCGAATCCACCACGAAGCTCAGTGTGACAATCCTCGTAATACTCTTGCTTCTTCCCGGGATCCTCGACCAGTTGTTGTATCATCTGTGAGGGATCCCGAAGAGGGGATTGTCCATGAATATCGTCCTCACAATTCTGACATTTGCCATGACAACAATCTTTCTACGGTACCTTCACCTCCGTCCTATCAACGACGGCTCAATTCTCAGGTCGAACCTGATCATTCCCAGCCAATCGTTCAAGGCATCCCACTTGTCTCTTTGAATGAAATGCCGGATCGTCTTCGTTCTGTGTTCCGTTATCCCCTCTTCAATGCCATTCAATCCAAGTGCTTTCCTACTGCTTACAAGTCCGATGATAACCTCGTCGTCTCTGCACCAACAGGTGGCGGGAAGACGGCTATATTGGAGATGGCTATCTGCCGCCTAATCCACGGCTTCAAGACCGATCAATACAAGATTGTGTACATGGCGCCTACGAAGTCACTCTGTTCCGAGAGGCAAAGGGATTGGCAGGCAAAATTCGTTGCGTTGGATATGAAGTGTGCTGAGTTGACTGGTGATACCGATCAGGGACAGCTGCGAAACGTGCAGAGCGCGAGCATTGTCATCACGACTCCAGAGAAATGGGATAGCATGACAAGAAAATGGAAAGACCATGCAAGGCTAATGCGAATGGTCAAGCTTTTCCTCATCGACGAGGTTCACATACTCAAAGACTCCAGAGGTGCTACATTGGAGGCTGTGGTTTCTCGGATGAAGTCTGTGGGTTCCATCGTTCGATTCGTAGCTTTGAGCGCTACAGTTCCTAATTCTGAAGACATTGCAACATGGCTTGGTAAAAATCATACATCTCAGCATCTACCTGCGATACGCGAGAAGTTTGGAGAGGAGTTCAGGCCTGTCAGACTACAGAAACACGTTGTGGGAATATCATATAGAGGCAACGACTTCGGCTTCGAGAGCGCGTGCGATCCGAAAATACCAGATATCATCGCGAAATATTCCCATAAGAAACCGATTATGGTCTTCTGCATCACCAGGAAATCTGCTATGAATACTGCGAGGCTGCTCGCCAATGTGTGGGCCAGCAAGGGATCGCGAGACCGCCATTGGGAGGGCCCCACGCAAAGACTCATCGTGCAGGACCCCGAGCTGAAAAACACCCTGACTTCTGGTGTTGCGTTCCATCATGCTGGCCTTGAAGGTCCCGACAGGCACACAGTCGAGAAAGGATTTCTCGAGGGACAGATAAATGTCATCTGCTGTACATCCACGTTGGCAGTAGGAGTCAACCTGCCTTGCCACATGGTCATCATTAAGAATACTGTGAGCTACCAGGATGACGGTATGAAGGAGTATGCGGATCTGGAAATCATGCAAATGCTTGGACGTGCTGGGCGTCCCCAGTTCGACTCGACTGCTGTCGCAGTGATTATCACAAAACAAGAGAAGGTTAACAAGTACGAAAAACTCGTGTCAGGTGAAGAGTTGTTGGAAAGCTGTCTACACCTTAATTTAATTGATCATCTAAATGCAGAAATAGGACTTGGTACTGTCTACGATCTCTACACTGCGAAGAGATGGCTTGCGGGGACTTTCCTATATGTTCGTCTTGGGCTAAAACCCGAACACTATAAGCTCGACGGTGACGCAGTGGCACAAAGTCTTGACAACAGAATCGAGCGTATATGCAGGAGAGATCTTGGGCTTCTGAAGGACACCCAGTTGGTCAATTCTGGTGAAAGACTCAAAGCTACGGAGTTTGGGGACGCGATGGCCCGATATTACGTCAAGTTCGAGACCATGCAGGTGTTCATGCGTCTACAGCCTCGATCCAAAATGTCGGACATTGTGAGTTCGATCCCCAGTCCTGACTAAGCGGTGCTAATGACTCGAGCTCTATGCCATCGTTCAAGCAGAGGAGTTCCGTAATATACGTCTTCGAGTGAATGAGAAGAAGCTGTTCAAAGAGATCAACCGCGCGCACGGCATCAAATTCCCTATCAAAGTCGACCTTGCTATGAACGCGCACAAGAGGAGTCTCATAATTCAATCTGAACTTGGCGGAGTCGACTTTCCTACGGACGAGCAATATGTCAAGCATAAGAGACAATTCGTTCAAGACAAGGCGAGTCTGTTCTCCGCCAGTCATCGATTGATATGTTGTGTGATCGACTGCCATATACACCTCCAGGATGCCGTCACTGTACGGCATGCTTTGGAACTCGCTAGGAGCTTTGGTGCTAGAGTCTGGGATAACTCGCCCTATCAGATGAAACAGATAGCGCAAATTGGTCTAGTGGCTATCCGAAAACTCGCGATTGGGGGAATCAATAGCATTGAGGCTTTAGAAGCTGCTGAGCCACACCGGATCGAGATGCTCATGAGCAAGAACCCACCTTTTGGTAACAAATTACTAGCGAACCTAAGGGACTTCCCGAAGCTTCGAGTGTCCGTGAAAATGATGGGCAAGGTGAAGCGCACATCCTCTCCCAAAGGAGGGCAGCTACTGAACATGATTCAGGATTCCACGCGAGGACGGCCAGTCACTATCAAGATCCAGGCGGAGTGCGGTTTCATGAACGACACAGTTCCCATGTTCTTTCATCGCAGGCCTATATACATCTGCTTGCTAACCGAAAGATCTGACGGCTTGCTGGTGGATTTCCGACGCATCAGGTGAAGCTCTTACCGAGCTTGTCCCATGTTTTATGCTAACGCTCGGGAGTGCGAAAAAACTCAACAATGCCCAAGACATACTCATGTCTGCCGAATTGCTCAATCACACACAGTGTATTACGTGCTATGTCATGTGCGACGGGATTGGTAGGTGTCACTGACGGATCCCACGTCTAATTTTGTGCTTATCAGACCACAGCTGGCACCACGCGATCGGCAGAACTCAAGCATGAGTTGCCAGCGTATCTATTCCCTCCGCCATCTCCACAGAAACAAGCCCAGGGACTCACATACCCGAAAAAGGACACTAGGCCCGGTGGCAATATCTCTCCAAGCACGTTCCACACAAGTCCAGAGACTTTGGAAGATGATGAATTCGGTGATGATGATTTCAAGGATCAGGAAGTCATGAATGCCGGTAAGATTAGCTTCTTCTACCTTTATTAGTGTCCAAATACTGATGATGCATCCAGTCAAAGAGACGGACTTTAGTCACATCGATGAGTTCGATCCTAGATCGAAGGAGAGGAAGCTCGAGCCAAGGGTACGAGAAAGCAAGGCTCCTGAGACCGAGCAAATTGTTTGGAAACCGGAGAGGCTTGGAAATGGGAAGTGGGCTTGTAATCACAAGTGCAAAGACAAGACAGCGTGGGTAATCTCATGCTGACGCTGATTACCAAGTTGATGGCTTTCCTAGTTGCAAGCATATGTGCTGTCGAGAAGGAGTCGACAAAGCACCTAAGGCCCCCAAAAGTTCTTTCGTATCTGCGGCAACCTTAGTCGATCCGTCCCACCTCTCAGGTCATAAAGGTAAGAATGGACGTGTGGCCACCGCGAAGAGTTCTGCAGCTCCTAGTGTACCCGCAACAGAACAGAAGGCGGAGACTGAGACAGTCGACCTTGCAAGCCGCCAGACATTGGGGGGCTGTGAGAAAATGCCGTTCAAAGGTTTCGGGAGCCTGAATCGTCTGCACGAAAATGTGACTAAAGGAAGGACCGCGTCGGTGGTGATAAAGAAGCAGCCATCCTTTGATTATACGAAAGGGGGAACGCCACATATTTCGTTCCTCACCAAAGATGCTGGCGCTGAAATATCGAGCGACAAACCGTCAACTGACTACGACGCCGATTGTATGGGGGACCTCCCTTCTCCATCTGCCCTTTTAAGAGAGCCAGCGGGAGACCCCGACCCTCTCCCCGAGCATACATCAACAGATTATAATAGTAGCTGGCCTGATGGTCTCACGTTCCCTTCTACTCTCATCCGCCAGAATGATGCGGCTACCGGCAATTACCCTGACAATGATTTGCTGGAAGGTTTCGATCCGTCGCAGTCCAATGACGATGAATCCGACCTTGAAGCGGGCATGGTGGGACTGAGCGACTCGGTAACCATGCAGGAGGAAAAGTCGCAAGTCCAAGCAGCGACCCTTCGGACGAGTTCCCAAGCAGAAGCTTTCCCGCATTGGTCGCCACCTCCAGACGAACCTACTCCTAAGCTCGACCACCGTCCTGCATTCAAAACGGAGAGCTCAGGCACGTCCAAGCTGTTCTCCGCAACAGACAGCGCTGAAAAAGTTGGGGAACTACGGCAAAAGCGCAAAGCAGCGGTCAGTGTTCAAGCGGAAGATCTATCCCACTCTGCGCCGGTACCGAAGAGGCCGAGAGACAGCGATGAGCGCGATCAGGCTCCAAGATCTTCGTCGAGCGCAAAGAAGGAGTTCAAAGCACCAGCCCCAATGATCAAATCGGGACAGCCGGCGTGGGTGTATGGGTTTGATCCAGGGTTCATTGCAGAGTGGCAGGACCTTGTCGACTTTGTTTGAGCCTTCGATTTGAACATTTGCAGATTTGCTTCTTTCGCTCTTGGGTTGCTTTGTCGGCGTGACATGGTCTAAGTATCGCTGCAGCAGCTGAATAGAGTAATTGCTCTGTAAATGTATTATTGGATGTGGCCATCTCCGGGCCACTGAGGCCGAGATCAAAGGCTCAAATGAAAAGGGAAAAGCTGAGGGTGATGAGGGAAGCGAGGGAAGATGAAGCCTGCTGCCTGGATCAAGTATGCCTAGGCCCCTCGTACCTTAATTAAAAGTACTTTAGATACAGTACTTTAAGGTACTTTAAGCACCCATGCCGTGGCAGCCGAGAACCTGCTGGCGCTTAAAATATGTTTGATTGGGCATAACTTATGCAACATAAATTAAAGTAAAGTAATGCTCTCCATGCAGAGCGGATGACCATCTACTAAGTACTTTACACAAGGTACTTTGTCTTTGATTCTCGGACTCTTGATGCGTAAAAGAGAAGGATACTTGGTAGTGTTCGGAAGTGCATCTGTATTCCGTACCATCATTGCATCTCCTCCGTTCTATCCATTTACATCTATCTGCCCGGCTCCTTGGATTGGGGACTAATAATAATAATAATAATAATAATAGTAATAATAATAATAATGATGATGATAACAACAATAATATCAATCTCTCCCCTGCCAATTCAATTCACATCAATTCCATCAATCTAAGAAGCACCAACATCCTCACCACCTACAAACCAAACCATTATTCCCTGGTCAAACAACTTGCAGACAATAATGAGAACCGACAGTGCCTATAACCCCAAACTCAAGAGCAGACGATTGTGACAAAGCCCACTTCCGATGACTTCGAATTCCAAGGAGCAAAGTAGTAGGTATACGACACAAATCTGGGAGACTCCGCTCACATTGCCAGTGTCTTACGTATCCCGCCGAGGAACAGGGCGGAATCCTTCGAACCCTGCCATTCAATCCTATCTCCAGGACCATGAAGGTTCAAGGATGCCTCAAACCATAGCGCAGCGCTCCACCTTGCCGCGTTCCCAAGAGCTCCAAGCCTCCAGCTATCCTGGTCCTCCACCAAGTGACGTTGGAACTTCAAGACTCCCTGCACGCAGCGACTTCACCCAAGATGATTCGCTCCCTGGTCTCACCCACGCTAATAGTTCAAGGCCTTCCCAGTCTGTTTCTGATGGAATGGGAGAGAGACAAATGAATCGCGCTTTGAGAATCATGATCCCAGATCCTGATGGCGCATTAGAGCCTACCACCCTCCCTCCCCTTCGCAGACCAGACCAAGGTCCTGTCCTCGAATGTCCATTCACCTTCCTTAAGTGCTTCAGACAATTTGCCGTCTCAAACGAGCGAGAATGGATCCAGCACAGCTTGGAACATTTTCGCATTATCGATAGAAGACGGTCGAGCAGGGTCGATCCGCCGAAGAACAATTCGTGTTGCTTCTGCTTTCAAACGTTCCAAGCGTCCAGTGGTGTTGACAGTTGGCGAGATCGCATGGACCACGTCAAATTTCATCATGCACTTTTGGGCCATCGTCTGGCGGCTGCTCGACATGACTTTGCCCTCGTTGAATACCTCTGGCAAAATGGGGTGCTGTCGTTGGCGGACTATCGGGAGTTGAAGCCGAATGCCGCTGCAGCATCACGCAGTACGCAGAATATCCCGACTCCGCCAGACTCACCACCTGGAACGGGAGCGGTGGCTGTCATACATCCGAATCAACGGCGCGAAGGAAGATAATGGAGAGGACAGTTGCTTTCTTTCCGAAGGAAAAACAGTAAGAGATGATGTTGGTCGGTCGAAGTTAGCGGACGCACCTTGCACCATGCTTGAAGGCGTGCAAAGAAAAGCGAGGACCAGGAAAAAGGTCACGATACATGATTACACACGCCAGAGGTGAAGCTGGGCTGGACACAGGGACCGGCATTCAGCTTTATATTCTATCGCCACTCTCGGCTAATTCGGGCCAGGAGCTGGGGTGGCGAGAGGTTTGCCTCTTTACGAAAAGATGGAGGATGGATCGCCATTTCTGATACGAATTTCTTACCGAGGGCTCTTCAAGCCTTTTAATCGATGCCGGAGGCTGAGAATGTTCTCAGGGTATCTCTTTCGTTGCCCCCTTTGCACAGCCGCCGGGAACTTCATTCTGCGTCAAAGCGCCGTGTCCATAACAAATCATCTCTCAGCTTCATCATAATAACACTACAGTATAATTCAATCGAGACTGCTGCCTGCTCTGAAGCCAATCATTCCCCAGCCTCGCCAGCTGTGCCTTCGCCTTCCCTACCCGCATCATGGAGCCTTCAACAGCTAATCAGTAGCATCCCATCCCTGCTAAAGGCAAGGCTGTGCTTGCATATATTAGCGCATATCTGACGCATCGTCCCCAGCTGTTGTCCAGGTCTCTCCTTCCTTACTCAGCACTTGGTAAAGTCACTTCGAATCCCTTGAAAGAAAGCCTCGCGTCGGTCCTTCTCGAAGCCATCTTTCCCCAACACCTCTTTTGCCCTCTCTTTTCACCCAATGGCCTTTCCTTCTCTTTGTCCCGGTCCATCTCAGCCAGTATTGGCAGAGAAGCAGCTGCTCAGACCAATCCACAGACACCTATCCCTTCCTGAATGGCAGCCTTGATGCTACGAACATCATCGGTCTGTAGAAAAACCACAATGAAGAGAAAGAGCCCCCAGCCATAGCATTAGGTACTAGGCGATGTTTCCCAGGTTCTTCACTCGGTGAGGTGTGAATCCGTAGAGGACCCTTGGTTGATGGATGGGCGAGATCCTCTGAAGCTGCTCATCAGCGTTATCATAGGGAGTATTTCTCAAATCTTCGGATCTAATATTAGACAGAATATCCGTATAAAGGGAAGAAACTCGGTAAACTTCCGTGCCACAAGAGACAGCTTCGACCATTCTCGATGGTCCAGCATCAAAATCTGATGACGAATCTTTGAGACGTAAGCAGAAGCCTCCCCGTAAGACGAGAAAAGGACAGGGCAGAAGCATAGGCAAGAAGCGTTTGTCCGAGAGGATACTGGCATGAATCAAATCGACGGGTTTGACCGACACAAGGCGACTCGGTCTGTAGTGGAAGCTCTTGAAATCAAGAAAAAAAGAGATTGATATTCGGCACTTTGCGTGCTTCGCCGACCATCCTGGACGCCACGCTGCTGATCCCATCAAATGTCGACCTGCCTTGCCTCAAGACTTCACGTGTCTTCCATCAATTCCACAGGCGGCCTCGCTGTATGCGTTAGTATCCGTCCGCCTCCCTGGCCCCGTCCATCCACAGGACTCGAGCTCCCAGGGCTTTCCTGACCTTCCTCCTCTGCACCGGCAGTAGTGTCTATCACCATCACCGCAGGTAAACTCTCGTTATCCCCATGGTGCTTCGGATGGTAAACCATCATGCTCCCCGTCCCACTCCTTTTCCGATTTCCCTGTAACTCCTCCTTTTCATCCTCGCTCATTGGACTCCCCGCATCATCCGCACTCGCCCTCCTCTCCTTCCCATGATTACCCAGCCCCGCCAGCGCTCGTTGTAGATCCTCAGCATGAACATCCTTGTTCGGCGGTTCCTCTTCTCTGATTTCCCATCCGGCAGGCGGACTCGGCGGCGGACTGATGAACAGTAATTTCCCTAAACTCGGCGCTTTGAGGTGCTGATCCTCCCCTCCATCGCCCAGTATAGGTGTCGGTTCTCCAAAGTATATGCGTACCCTGTCATTCTCACTCAGTGGCGATCCATCGAGCAGTTGCCGAATCTCAATCGCGGCTTCAACGGTAGGGTAGGACACTATGATCCGGCGGAAGGAGCGGAGGGGGGAGAAGGAGTTGAGGGGCGTGGGCGTGCTCAGGAGGGTGTGAATGTGCTGCAGGTTTTGGGGGAGGAATGTTGCGAGGGAGTTGAGATTCTGGGACAGGGTTAGCTGGGCTTGCAAGGGCTAATTCGGAGGGCAAAGCATACCGTTATAAGGAGTGTATTTGACGGCGGCGAGGGTGTAATCAATGGAGGAAGAGCGGAAAGGTCAAGGGAGAGTGGCGTTTGGGTGCCATTTGATATGGATGTGGATGTCGGGCTTTCTGATGGAGAGGCAGGCGGAGATTTGTCTTGAGCAGGCATAGTTGGAGAAGCGCGGGGAGAATTCATGATTCGTAAAGGGTTTGGTATGCTGGATTCTATGTTGTTGAGTGTGGAGGAAGCGCAAGTCTTTATTCTCATGGGGCTCTGAGGGCGGCTCGGTGGCGCAGCAGGCCGACGACAAATTCTCGAAGCGCCGAGCAGTTTTCACTTTTCTGAATATCTCCCGGCCTGCTCCGCCATCCATATTGACTCAAACATTCTCTGCTTGAATCGACTTCCATGTGAGGAGGGTCGCGCAATGCCTCAAATCCTCAAAGATGGCAGTGCTGAAGACAAGTCAATATGCTCGAGGGGCTCCGAGAGTATGTCACAGGTAGAGTACGGGGTAGCAAATTGGAGAATTAGCCCATCATACAGACAATGGAGACATGGTCTCTTCGTCTATAGTATATGTCTTGCTCCAAATGATGCCTCCCAAAACGCCTCGCTTGCAACCGAAGCATTGTAAAACACGCCCAGGGGCCCATCTGTCAGGCATTCGTCTCTGCGCAGTCATGCTGAACCTGTGGTCAAAGATCTCCCGAGACCGTCAGCTCTGCCCTCGGGCTGACTGACCCGCCCTTCTGCGCGACACTTGAAGCAGCTTGAGAACTTATTGTGTCCTTCATGACTCCTTCACCTCCTTCCCATACCTTCTCCTCCATTCCCTGACCCCTCTATCCACCTCTGCCCTCGTAACTCCATCCCTGACCAAGCACATCACCACTCCCAGGCTCTCCACATTCCGATTCCGTACCTCATCATCGAAGAAGAGCATTTGGTCATACGGCACCCCACTCGCTTTATGTATCTTGGAGAAATGCTGCTTCTTGTCCCCAGGAAAGATCTGCATGTGGTCGAAGTACTCAATGGCGCGCTTGTTACTAGGTTGTACGTGAAGCTGCTTGAGAAGGGTATTTGCGAGGTCTGGAGCGTGGGTACGAGAAGCTGTACCAAGCAGCAGCGGCGTAGGGAGCGCTTTGGCGGCGTGAAGGACACCGGGAACGTCGCGATAGAAGGTGAACGACTCGCCCCATCTTCGGATCATGTCAGCCAAACTTTCTGCAAAGAGGCCTAGTATTATGGGGCTTGGTCTCGCTCGCATACCGATCTACGGATTTGGCCCCTCCCTCCTTGGCTTTCAAAGGCGGCGATACATGTGTATCTACCCAAAACGGCCAAAGTGTGTAATCCAAATCGAATACCATCATCTTGGGAAGGGGCAGTCCGTCGCTGAAGGTATCTGGAGCAATACCTTGCTCAACCATAACGCTGGCGTTGGACGGTTCGAGTTGTTTTACCGGCTGTTTAACCATGTTCGCAGCCAGGAGCAGAAAAGCGGACAATATCAGAAACGGGGCTACTATGAGAGACAGAGTGCTGGATACTCTTTGTGTCGATGTTGGGAAGTGATCTCGTCTCATGGAATTTGTAGATTTCTATGTAGACAGAGGTTTGCCGTGCGATGCAGAAAAGACTCACCAATTTTGATGTACAGTGACGTTTCAGGGTCTGTTTTCTTTTTAGCGTTGCTTAGATTACCTTAGGGCTTGAGCCCTACGAGTAACCTAAATCCTAAATCCTAACTCCTCGGTAAGAGATCAGCGCTGTCACCACTGTGATAATTAAGAGACATTGAAGTTTCTGGCACATAGGTCTAACATTCTGCCCCATGTACATTTTTGAGTATATGCCATACATACGTCCAGAATCGAACGGAAAATTATTCATCCATTTCCTCCCAGATCAGAGCCCAACTCTTATTCATACACTGAACACTCCACCATCTTCCCAAACCTCTTTCCCTACCATCTATCCATCACCACCCAAGACAGCCCATCTTCATCCATGACCTGAGCCTGCTGTTCCACCCCATCAAGGTCCACCACACTACTACTTCCAGTTCTCTTCCTCTCATGACTGATCTTGTTCATCGTTGTAATCCCTCGCGGTGGAGACAGCGTCAGGCTACGACCATAAGCGCTCAACGCACCGTGCCCAGGAGGCGGTGTAATAGGTGAGTTATGACTCGCCGGTGTCTCAGGTAAGATGTCCGAGGGGCTGAAACTCAAACTGGGGGATGGTTTACCTGGTGAAATAAATCCAGCGGAGCCTTTTCGATTCAACGGTACCTCGGGAAAGGGATAGGCGTCTTGGATTCTAAGATCCTCCGCGGAGGCAGAAAAACGGGGATTTGCTCTGCTCATTTGATTTGCATATTCTTGTGGTGGATGCGATGTCGAAGACCTAGATTCGTAGTTCGAGGATCGGGAAGCTCGTCCATCCGCACCTGCAGTATTTGGCCTTGCCACGATGTCCTGAAGCTGCATAGCCGTTTTGAATCCTTTGTCAAAGTCGTCCTGGCGGATGCTAGCTCTCTTATCTCGCATGGCCTCTAGTAGCTTTTCTTCTTCCGACGTGACCTTCATGAATTTGCTCTTGCGGATAGTCTGCTCTACTCTTGTTCTTGCTCTTCGTGCATCCATACTACCACAAAGAGAACTCTCCCCACTGTCGACAGTGCCTTCGGTACTTCCTGCGTTGTCTTCCATCATCTCGCGCCATCGCACTGAAGAAGCTCTTTGACTGAGCCTCGGCTTGTCTGGGATCTTTGGTACGGGCGGTACCTTTTCTGAGCTGTTGGATCTTCTCGAAAGAGGTTTGGTGCGTCCGTTAATTACTGACCGTGGCCTGACGGGCTGAGCCCGTTGCGCGTTACCGACCGAGACTTCATTATTGTAGGTAGCCTTTTCAATGCTTGCTCGAATGCGATGGCGTCGATAAGGTGCGTCGGAACGGCTTTCCGTTTCGTCTTCGGAGGATGAGAGCTCAAGGAAACTGACCAATTTTAGATCCATCCCCGGGGGTGGTCCTTTGCGGCTGATCGTTGGTTGTATAATCGTAGCATCGGGACTTCCGGGCGTGCTTCCGGGAGTGCTCATCTCCTCTGGAGCTTGTGATGACGACCCGCTATAAAGACTGCGTATAGGAGGAGAATTGAACCGAAAGCTCATTCTTTGATCTAAGAGTGTAGTTGGTTCACCCTTGTTGCTGTAAGAGCTTTTCCTCCATGGGATCTGGGGAGACTGGGCTCCTTGTGTCATGATCTCCTGTATACTGAGGGGAGGATTGTATGGCTCGGGTATCCGATATTCCGAAGCCTCAGTATCTCGATGGCCGCCCGATGAAGCTCTTTCGTCCTCCAACCCATCAAACCAGTTCCGCATACCTGCTTTTGGCTTCGCATTTGGCTTCTTCACATTGAGTTTGATGAATGGTATATCATCATCAAAGTCTTCCTGGCGCTGCTGGTCTTCGATGGGAATGAACGGGGGCATTTGTGTCTTTACCTTTGCCCACCACCTTGGCCGGCTGAACAACATTTTTTGTTGGCTCTGTGGACCGAGAGGCTTCGGTAATGCTGCTTTTATTAGAGCTGGCGGCGGAGAGACTGCATGAAAAGCTCGATTGGCATTTGGATGTAGCGTTGGCGGGTCCATGACCGATGGTCTTCTCCTTGGAATGCTATTGATCCTCTTGACTGAGTTTCCAGATAATTTGGAGCTCTCGGAGACTTTAGTGTCCGTAGATATATTGCGCGAATGTAGTCCATCAGGTTCGTTAGATACGACTGCCTCTACCATAGTGAGGCTCAGTGGACTAGAGATTGGCGGGAAGCCTTTCCTCAACGCCATATCTCGCGCCGAAGAGGCAGATGTTTGTTGTGAGATCGACAGCGGTGACTTTTTTGGATCATAGTGAGACCGCAAGGTTGGGGATGAATCGACGCGGCGGGCTCGCGGGCTAGAGGCGTTGCTGAGAGTCCCCCCATTTGTAGACCCAAACATATAGTGCTCCCCAAGCAAGGGTGAGGATCCTTGCCCGCCATTGTTTTGTGTCGGCTGGGACACCAATTCACTTATTGGGGTGTACATGCCTGGAAACGGAAATTCATCCGGAGTCTTGACAGATTCGGCATCGACGTCAGACAGGGTCACGCTCATGAAGCTGGGGTATTTTCGCAACTGCTTCTTCCCTTTTTTCGACTGCTTCTTTTTCAATATAGGACCGTCCGATTCTAAGGATCCCAGCACTTTCTCGGCCTTGGCACCTGGATGAGATAGAGGAGAGTCATCGATGTTGCTTTGGTTTGAGTACTGTGAACCAGGTGTCGCATGAGGAGAGGCACTCGGCCTTCGAGGTAGGGGAAACGAGATCTTGAAAGAACGAGCCATTGCGGTGGAATCGTCGACGGCCACAGCTCAAGAGTTGATGGGATGGAAGTAGAAGTTTTTGGGTTAAGTGGAGGCGCAAGTCATATGTAAGAAGCTCGTTTCGATCGCACACAACAGCATTCTTTAATTGTGGCTCTGTAGACTTGGCGTCACTGAAGCTTGTTCGTCCAATCTTGAGTGGATCAGTATCTCCGCGTTTCCCTGATGGTAAGGAGGTCTCACGTATCCGTGTACGCCAGTGTCTATTGCCAGTATGGTATACCAGAGACTTGATGCTGGAGAAACAGATGAAGAAGAATGGCAGCTGCGGGCTTAAGGCGGAGCTTTGCACACCTCCCTCTCCACACACACAAGCAACATGGTGTGAGAGCCCATCCCTGCCGTCCCTGCCATCCCTGCCATGCCTGAAATTTCGTGGACGGACATGGGGGTCAAAGGAGCTAGAAAGTAGAGGGTAAGGTAGCACTCCTTACTTTACCGAGTACTCTCTAGACTCTAGCCCACGGCCCACGAGGCACACACCATATTTGGCTTTGAGCCTTTTGGATACGGAGGCCAAGACGGAGACGGAGACTTGCAGTGGGGAGAAATTGAGAATGGCGTCGTTGAGCCGAGGATCCCGCTCGGAGCTAGGCGCAACTCATGCTATTGGTCGTCTGAGTTGGGTCTAGTCGCCAATCCTGATACCGACTTCTCATTCCCCCCTTTACTCAATAAAAGTCCGTGAGAAAGTGAAGAAAGGCTACCTGTCCTGACCTTGGGATTATGAGCAGTGGTAAGGCTGCGTGGGCAAAGTTGGAGAAGGAGAAGAATAAGAATAAGACGCTTGCCACAAAGGCAGTTCCTGAACTAAAGTAACGCCACGTGGGCTCGCCACACAAGAACCTGAAGCGCGAGAAAAGGGGTATTCACATGGTTGTCGACAAACATCATAGACTTCTCGGCACACATCATTCACATGACCGTCCACATTGACATCTTCCCAGCTCGTGGGGACGAAATGGGAATTGGAAACAACAGCCACGAGGCGCTCAAGTGGAAACGAACTGAAACCACGGCACACACCCGATAGTTAATACAAAACTCAACTCTTGGAATCGCCACCGCCCGGTGAAAGCCTGCGTCACGAGATAAGGGATCAGCGAGTGCAATGTACAGTATAGCTGTGGAATATGTGGGTAAAGCCGCCAGGTCACTCCTGTAGCACATGATTGACAGGTCAGCTAGCGCCTTGATTCTTGACTCAAGAACATCTGAAACATGGACATCTCGACCGAGTCATGTTCATGTGCGACATACTTCTGCATGCCTCTGGGAAGGAATAAAGCGTCAGTGATGGCTCGAACGCTACTGTGGATCATAAGAAATGCTCCTAAAATGTGTCATGCTTCCATATGGTGTAAAAGGTAAAGGCGGCCTCAGCGCTTGTACATCAGCGTAATGCAACAGCCAGATATTGGGATAGCCATTGAAGCATCAGCAAACCAAGCGTAAATAAGTCCAGCTTAGCTAGGCAACTGTACACAGAGGCCTCCTACTTCTCGTGACGTCCGGTCTTTATACGTTTGCACCGAGGGTCCTCATCGTCGGTCTCTGTATTCGCAGGTACGGTATTGGCTCGAGGCTCATACTAAAACGGTGAGCGCTTGCGATGCTTCTTGGGATGGCAGCGACAGCCGGAGCCCGGGGAGGTACTTACGAAACCACTGATGCTCGTGAGAGGATCACAGTAGAGTTGTCTTCTGAACATTAACTGCTCGGGGGCGGTCACTGGAGATAATCGCGTCCTTCCAGAAGCCAGGTAACCGCCTTCATCCAATCGCTTGATCAACCCCTGTGTCGTCTTTCCATCAAAACCTGCAGTGTTTTAGCTTTCTGCCCAGTCCAAGCTTTAGGCATCACTAACGCAGCTTTTGAGCGAATTCTGCGGGTGACGAGGGGGTTTTTTCGTACAGGATCCATAGTGCTCGTCTGAAAATGGCGATTCTCTTCATGTCTCCCAAAATCGGTCCATGCGTATCTTCAAGAAGACATTGATAGCAATGATGCTCGTGTACGTGCGTCTCTAAAGCAAACCCATAGCAGTGATAATGCTGCAACTTTTGGCAGCAAATGCATTGGAGCTAAATGACTTGATGTTAGCATGGCAAGTAATGGCTGTCGCTGGGTCAAGAAGTACCATAGGCACTTCTTCTAGATCGCAAGAACATTCGCAGCGAACGACTCGATCAGCAACCCACTGTTGGTTATCTCTCTTTACGCACATCTCCAGTTCTTTTCCTGCCCGCAGCTTCCAATTCCATGTAAGTCGTGTTGGCGAGTCACGTGCTTCCATAACTTGGGTCGGCAGAAGACTATCACCCCTCAACGTATCGTGTATCTGTTAAATGTGACATTAGCCAGGAATAATCCCCAAATAATTTAGGGTTCGTGCTCACCTTACCGCTTTCTCCCGAGTCCTTGCTAGGAGGTCCTGGGCTAATGGTCTGTCTTATTGCCCTCGTCGATCTATCTGAATCTCCAGTACCACCTTGCGAGAATTCCAGCCTAATTGAATCTCCCTGCTCATCTGCTTGTCTGATGCCTCTAGGACGCTTTTCCATCCAGGTGCCCACTGGCGGAGCGGCCTGATCTGTAAAGCGCCTTTCGAGATCGGGCTTGAGGGTCCTTGACACAGTCCTTGTGTACTCCATATTCTGGGAAAGCACTGGCCGATGGTTGGGCTCTTGCGCGGCATCGGTGCGAGCCATGAAACCTATTTCCAGGCGCATGCTAAGCCAATCAGTGAGACTTCAAGGAATCAGATGCTCGAGGAATTGTACCGATGAATGCCCGAGTCTATTGACCCGAAGCTTCGCTGCTTCATATACCATAACCCGTTCTCGATGACAGCCATGTTGGTGTCTGTACAGGTATGGAACCCCGGTGGTCGATGATGCCGAGGAGCATAGGGTGAATGAAAGAGGTGACACATCAAGTATCGTTCCTCTTCACAGGTTTCATTAGTACAGATGATCACGGCACTTTCCCCGAGACAACTTACTGGGAAGTGCGGGGAGCTGCTGCTGATAATTTTTGAATTGGTCGATCACATTGACCATGCCAGATCTAACGCTTCGAATCGTAATCATGCCGCTGCCACCACCCGGAGCCGTCAACCCCATAAGCCGTCGTTCACCGTCCTTCCCATCACGGTATTGAAAAGAGAATGTGTACAGCTCCAGGATTTCGGAAGGTCTCGATTTGTCCGCATATATGCTGAACTGAACGCCATCCAAAGAGCGTTCGAGTAGACCCTTGGATATCTCATCCTGTGCAAGGAAAATCAGGAAGTTCCCAAGCATCTGAGATTTGATGCTCACGTACCAGCCAAGCTAGCAGTGTGTCAACGCCATCTGTCTGGCCTGGAGCTAAGACTACGAGAGGTTGATCTCGTTGTGCCAGTGCAGTTGCTAAAAGTGTCATTTCATTATCGCTGCTGGTTGTGTTTGAGCGAGCGTGGGCCTGCTTGTAAGAGCGACGGGCCTCTGTGCGGATCAATGAGGGTGATCGCATCTCGAAACACGATTTGGGGAAGAGATTCCTGTGAATGGAGTCAGCTCACGGGCCGCGACAGCCAATGAGTCACATGATGTACCGTTGGTACGCAATGCTGGCTAGCTTAATGTCGCATGAAGAGGTTAGCGGGAGGTCTTTTGATGCCGGGACTCCGCATGTGTACCAAAACTTGAAGAAGTCCTGTTACCATGGCATAGCTTTGCTTCTCTTTGACGGCCTGATCTTCCACGTGAAGCGAGATGGCTTCTGGTGTGACGAGTGAAGTGCCTTCCTGATCCCCACGTTGAACAGTCTTTTTGTTTTGAACCATATTTAAGGAGCCGAGCAGTTTTGGGGGTTGGTGGTTGGAGATGACGGGTGTTTGGTAGCAGGAAGTGTATATTCAACTCATCGATCAGCAACGGAGGCCAACACCAAAGCACCAGATTTACCGAGTCCCGTGAGCACGTTTTATTGAACAGTGACTGTATTATCTGGGGAAGCTTTGGAATTGTGAACTCACACTGGCCTTGCCAATTTTTTGTTCCGTTCCTGTGATATAATACAGTTGTCATGGGGAGTTTTGAGATGGCAAGAGTCGAGATGGAGGAAATGGAGGACAGCGCCTACTACTACTAGCGCCTGAAAATAGGGATAACTTCGACCACGCTTATGGACCAATCTTGGACGCCAGGGATCATGATTTTGGACTGTGTTATCGAAGAGAGAGATTGACCTCAGAAATCAAAAAATCCGTCTCGATTACCAGTGTGTGTTGCAGAGTCTGTCCTCGAATGCCAAGCCACGAACGATCTCTATGTAGATTGTCACTAGACCTCGACTAAATCAACTACCTTCACCACCTCCTTCTTTCCCAAATCCTTCTCGTCCACATTTCTCTTCGACTTACGCCTCTTGTTTGACTCTTGCCGCCATCGAGGCCTGTCTTTGCATACGTGGTTCAAGTTGTCGACAGTCTTTTAAGGGACCCATAGTTTGACCTGGCTCAACACATGTCTTCAAGGGCCCCACACAACCATCAGCCGTTGTGTAATATCCCAGAACCAAGCATTCACTTGTCCACGATGTGAGTAGTGTCTCATGACCCCTCCTAGTACTTGCAGCTGTTATCATAGCTTTCCGCGAATGCCGTACACTTTGGACTTTCACGATGTGATTCGCCAATAGATGGGGAGATTGCCTATGTCTTTAGCATATCTTCCGTTGCCGAAGCTTACAAGATGCAATAGGTCGATACTACCTTCGGATTACTCCAAGCAAGGAGATACTCCATCTGCGCGGCTCTCCAAATTGGGCTGCGGACCATATCGTCGTCAAAAACACACATCAGGCTGGACTCCCGCCAACAAGATTCCAGATGTCGAGCCGTTTGATTATCGAAAGGACTCTCGAAAGCCGAAGTACATCGAGAAGGGTGATCCACTGCAAGATGAGGAGATACTCCTGCAAGGTCTGCCAATCGTCGAGCCGGGAGACGAGGCAATCAACACTATCAGAAAGGTACCAAGCGATCAGGCTCTTATGCCGTTGAGATGGGGTAGCAGTCGCAGGGCAACCGGCCGATCCAAAAGTGGACTGCAGGTACGTCTACGTTTCGGAGCAATTCTTCCAAATCCGTACCCCAATGAGAACCCAGAGGCATGTTTCGAGAGTACCATACTCACGTGCCTTGTGTTGTCACCCCTTTGCCATCTCGAAGAATAACGACTGACTCCGAACACTGGAAGATCCAAGTACCGAGTAGCAACGCGCCAACGTCATTAATTCTTGGGGAAGCTATCACCGGAAAATCCATCATTTACGCATACACCTCGTCTTCTTCCTCATCGAGCGGGAGAACAACGAGCAGCTTCGGTGCTGTAGGAGATCATCTTGCTTCGACTAGATCTGCCGTTTTGCCTAGGACCTTGGCGGCGATGGGAGATCAGAACCCATCTGTTAAAGTAGAGCGGTCCGTTATGAGTGCTAATTGTCGTACCCGGTCTCCTCTTGCGGATCTAGTCCTCAGCTCAACGCCTGATGAAGAGCCGTACCAGTTGCTAGCTCTCGGTCAGGTTGGACCGTGGAAACGACCCTTCACACCACAGCTTGTCAAACCCTCGAGACTTTGTACTCTAATTCAACGGCGACGATCCCTCTCCGACTTGAAAGAAGCCCCGCAGGCTCGACAATGTTCTGTAGGCGTAGAGCTGGAAGCTCCAAAACCGCAGGTACCAGCAAATATGAAGGTATTGGGACCAGATGATATTAAAGTCGTCAGGAAAGATAGCCTTGTTCAGCCGGATGAAGTCAGCTCCATCGAGGCAAAAGAGCCACCAGTATGGTCACGCAAAGGTCTTCCATTCGAAGAGAACCGCCGAGCACGGAGTGGGCTGCGCGTTCATCTGAGGTACCAAAATTATAGTCTTGATCCTGAAACACTCTCTCTTCCCTATGGAGTAGGTCGCAGTTGCTGTTGCATGTGGACATCCATCAGCTGACGGAATGGCAGTCGAAAGTGTTCATCATGAAATCGACCAATATCCATAACCTGCGAGCTTCGGTGGAACACGAAGTCTGGTCATCAACGAAGGGTGCAAATAGAGTGCTCCAAAATGCTTGGGAGAGCAGGAAGCCAGGGGAAAAGATCATTTTCATGTTTTCCATCACCCATAGGTATGGTGTGTTTCCTTTGGTGGAGAGAATTTCGTTGACCATTTAAGCAGTCATAGATATGGTGGAAAGTACTGTGGTCTGGCGGAAATGTCCGGACCATTCGACCCAGAGAGGGAAGTTAATATTTGGACAGAGGGACTTCAAGGCAATGAAGGAGTGATTCCGACGCGATGGATCGTTGCCAAAGATGTTGAATTCTCCGCCTTTGACGACTTGAATTACAATGACAAACGTGTCACCCAATTGAGACATGCAGTGAGTTACCTTTTCCGACCCATCATTCCCCTTTTCAACATATCTTGGGGGCCAGGGACCTTTTCCGCCTCCTGAGACATGTCTCCTGACTCTATAACCATGCGACAAGAGAAGTACTGACTCCGAAATCTTTTAGAACACGTAAGGAGGGTTCTCATCGGTTGGTTGGGCTGTGCTCACGAACGTCTTCTCTAGGGTTCCTGGCGAAGCAGGTCGCAACCTTGTGCAGAGGTACTTCGAAGCAGAGCATTCGGCGACCGCAATCCTCCACCCCAAGACAGAGCTTGCATCTTCTACTCCAGACAGACGAGACAGGCGATCAAACCCCCCGAGCGCTTCCAACTCCAGTAGACGAGTTCCTTGGGGATTGCCGCCACGCCCCACAGCACCAGCTCAGGGCCCTCATCCTGCCTATAGATCCATCTATGGGCAAGCAGCTCCAGCATACCCGCCATATCCGGTGTACACTCCTTTGGACAATAGACTTCCCCATTCTCAGATGCCCTATGGTGCCGTCACGAACAACAGGGGTGATTCCACCACTTACCCAATGTACGGACACGGGCCCTTCTCATTTCGTTATTGAGTTGAGTGCATGATGCGAGGAAGATTGTACGGGGAAGTAGGACATGGTTAACTCTCGATATTGAGCTCAAGCATGTACTAGATCCTCGGTGAATGTCGAGCTGAAGGAGGGAATTTCAGAGTTGGTAGTGAAGATGAGCGAAACCATTCTGTAATATGAATATTTCACAAGGTCAACAGGTCTAGGCTTTAGACAACTGCGAGGACAAGACGGCTTGATGTAACAATGTTAGCGAAATTGAAGAACATTTTGCAGTATGACAGTCTGACAGTCTAACAATAGGAAAGTCGAGGGTAATTAATAGAATGCCTAAAGTCTCCTTCAGAATTTTGGCGTTTTCAAGGGTCGTTGCCCCAATTATCAGCCGCGCTCCGTCACCGCCCCTCTCAGCAGCGTTATACTACTGTACCTCCCAACAGCAGTAACTCCCAGACCTTCTTTTCAGCTTCAAAATTCCTTCTCCCTTTCTCATCCTCCTTATTTTCCTGTGTATGCTAGTCAAAGAGTCAATAACAGCCAAGCCGGACTCTGTGACAGTACTTTGACACTGGTCTGTCCCTCACCGAAACGCCACTGTTCTCGGCTCAAGCCTCTTCACGAGTTACCGTTAATCGGCTGGCGCGAGTGCTCCAATTTTCCCGTAATCAGTCCTGCATATGCGACTTCCCCACCTGGCTTCTGTCCACCGCACCACTCGTGGCACCTTTACTTACACACTTGGGACCTCTCGGAGCGGCTCCGATAATACGGTCATGAGCCGCTGAATATGACAGACAAACCATAGCGTCCCATACAAGATTGTTCGAGTACAACGCGCTCCCGCTCGTGTCATCTTCGTGTCTTATGGTCTCTTCCCCCTTCAAGACGGCTCTATGGTACCTCATCCTACTATGAACCCTCCCTCTCGGGGACTTGAAACTGTCCTTCCCACGCAGTCGAATGCTGCTTCACCGACTATGTTGACAGGTCAGGCAATGCAGGAAGAAGCATTACAGCCACTAGAGGGTATCCGGTCCGAGGATGCGCTGGGACAATTCTCCTACGCTCCAGCTACTCAGACTACAGTCGTCACTACGACTACAACGACTACCACCAATTTCCCACCTATCATGATGAAGGCTCCCCAGCATCTATATGACTTGGATCCAAAGCTGTATCCCTTGGCTTCTTCACCAACACCGACATCCATTAAGAAATTGTGCTTCGATGTGGATGGGACACCAACATTATTTCAGGAAGCAGACGACACGCTTGAAACTCTAGAGAAGGTGTGTGAACCTATGAAATATCGTTTTAGGTAGGTGAAAAAAGCTTCTGGCTAACAATCTGTGTTCCTTTATAGCTCAAGCATCAGCAAAAAGCCTTAACAGCGTCTGACGGTGCGCTACGCTCCGTTGCAAAATCCGACCATGCTTTTGAGAGACCCAGACCAGAGGAGTTACGAATGGGAAGCTCAGACGCGTTATCACATCAGCAAGCGTCCAGCACAGCTCCGAGTAGTAGGCGGAAGCGATCGGCGTCACCAGTATCCATCTCAGAAGCCGTTACGCTGGCCAGTGGGCAAGTCCCCCGCAAGAGAAGATTAGTGTCAGGAGGTAATACAAGCTCAAGCTTGGGAAACGCTGACTTTTCAACACGAAAAGCTTCACAGTCAAGATTGCAGATCGTTCAGACATCGACACCAATCACTCCGCATCTTGGTAGGAGCAATACTGTCCAAAACCAAACACCCCCAGTGTGGCTGTCAGAAGCAATGGAGGAACACGAGAGGGAAGATCCGGTGTCAAGCACTTTCGATGCATCTGCAGCAAACGAGGATGATCCTCAGATCTTGAGTCCCAGGTCAGAGACCACAAGAGGAGTAACATCTCGAGAGGACGGTGTTGCCAATCATGAAAATGACATGATCGAAGATTCAGAAGTCCAATCGGCGTGGCGAGATCTGGGCATCGGATCCGCCATGACTCCTCGTATGGAGAATGATGAAGATGAGGTTTTTCCACAATTCCGACAGCCAGATCGTCCAAGGCCAACTATACTCGATACGACTGCTGCACAAGATGTTAGCCTACCTAGTCCAAGTCTGTCTCCAGTCACTGCGGCGGCGAACATGCAGAGTCGCAGAGGGTATTTTGAGCAACCTATTCTGGGACGTACAAATGCCCCTGGAAGTTTTCAATCTCTACTCTCTCAGAGTCAGAACAGCACGAGATCAAGCATTTCCGACGAAGCTTTGCACATTTGCCTGAATGGAGAGACATCAGAACCAGCATCCAAGGAAGTGGCCCCAGCCAACGGCCAGATCTCCACACGATCTCTTCTGAGCCTGCCGTCAATGGTCGATACTTTCGAAGCCATGCCCGAGGAAATGAAAAGTTATCTCATGTATCAATTCTTACGTCGTTGCTCAAAGCCAGTACTTCATTTTGTCGCTGACGTGGTCAACCCGGCACTCAAGTGCGATTTTCTAAGGCTTCTTCCTGTGGAGCTCTGTATCAATGTGATCGGCAACCTTGATGTTAAGACGCTTTGTCGTGCCGCTCAAGTTTCGAAGAGATGGAGGCAGCTCATTGATTCTTCCGAGAAGATATGGAAACGTCTCTTTGATGTCGATAATTACGTTTTGCCAGAAGGCGAGCTCCCAAGGGCAATCCGCGAGGGATGGGGCTGGCAGTCTGAATCTCAGACAGAAGACCATGAAAAGGATCTTAGTGCTTTCTCGACAAACCCCTCGGATACGGATTTGTCGGTCTCGTCACGCATGTACCGAGAACATTCAGGGACGAGTCCATTTGCTGCCTCACAGAGCGGTTCTGCGACTCCACAGACCAAGAAATCAAAGCGAAAAGCAAAGTCAAAGTCGAAGCCATCAAGTCGCAAGTACCAAAAGAGGATTCATTCGGCCTCGGTCGATTCAATAGACCTCGAAGACGAAGCTTTGCTGGACATGGCATCGGCCGACGGTCCATATGCAGCTGCCAATGCGGCCGCTGCAGCAGTGCCATATCCTCGCATTGGGCTACCGAGTCTAAAGAATTTGCATCTGTTCAAGTCGATCTTCATGAGACATCACATCATTCGTAAGACCTGGATGCAAGACGAAGTCACACCTCGCCACATAGCCTTCAGAGCACATCAACGGCATGTGGTAACATGCTTGCAGTTTGACGCAGATAAGATTCTCACCGGCAGTGATGATTCTAACATCAACGTCTATGATACGAAGACCGGCGCCCTCCGAGCCACACTCGAAGGACACGAAGGAGGCGTCTGGGCATTGCAATACGAAGGTAACGTCCTGGTCTCCGGTTCCACCGACCGGACTGTCCGAGTGTGGGATATCGAGAAAGGTAAATGCACGCAAGTATTTCAGGGGCACACATCTACTGTACGATGCTTGCAAATCCTGATGCCCACGCCCGTCGAAGGCAAGAGTCGAAATCAAATGATGCCGAAACAGCCACTCATCATTACCGGTTCTCGAGATTCAAACCTTCGAGTATGGAAATTGCCTAAACCTGGAGATGCGCCACTCTTCCAAACAGGACCAGCACCAGACGAAAACGCCGATTGTAAATACTTTGTCCGTACTCTATCTGGTCACCATCATTCGGTTCGTGCAATTGCTGCTTACGCCGATACGCTCGTCAGTGGAAGCTATGATTGCAGTGTACGAGTATGGAAAATCTCAACGGGGGAAACCCTCCACCGTCTACAAGGGCATACTCAAAAGGTATATAGCGTTGTCCTAGATAACAAACGAAAGCGTTGCATCAGTGGCTCGATGGACAACCTCGTCAAGGTCTGGTCGCTCGAAACTGGGACCGTGTTGTTCAACCTCGAAGGCCATTCATCTTTGGTGGGTCTTCTGGATTTGCAGCAGGATCGTCTTGTGTCTGCCGCAGCTGACTCGACTCTGCGAATATGGGACCCAGAAAACGGGCATTGTAGAAGCACATTGAGTGCACATACTGGCGCGATCACTTGCTTTCAACACGACGGCCAGAAAGTCATATCTGGGTCAGATCGAACTCTGAAGATGTGGGACGTCGCAACTGGCGACTTCGTCAAAGATTTGTTGACCGATCTAAGCGGAGTATGGCAAGTTAAGTTCAATGAGCGAAGATGCGTTGCTGCCGTCCAGCGCAACAATTTAACCTACATCGAGGTAAGATTTCCGATGGGTATGCGTTTAATCAACTGCTAAGAACTTCATCTAGGTACTGGACTTTGGCGCCTCTAGGGACGGTGTTCCGGGACACAAGCGAGGCCGCCGTATCGTTGTCAATGTGGATGGGCAAGAAGTTTCTGACCCTCACGATACCTCCGCCGACGCCGATATCATCGTGGAAGACTAATCTACATCATTCTGCGTTACCCGTCATCGTCTTCCAAGACGACTGCATAACTGACGAGCTCCAACTGTTATACACATACAGGGATAGTCGCTTCGCGGAAAGATTGTCTTTATTCTTTTAAACAGCATAGCCTATGTCCCAAGCAAGATACCCGAAAAGCTTTACGCGATATCGATACATTACGAATAGCGGTTCCCTTAGAAGAGCATAGCGATAGCAAGTACAGCAAGCATAGCATAGCCCAATATTATTCGAGTACTCGTTTTCATTCCCTGTCCACCATTTTCAGGCATGTTCGCCTCAATGGACGGAGGTCGACTTACGATCACCTACTCACATACAATGATATAGAGAGGACCAATATTACCCAGGAGACTAGTCGTAGTATTACGTTGATAAGTAAATGCCCTGTGTTACTACCTTTGCTATTGTCTTGTAATCTGCGACCTCGTTGATAGTCGATTAACAGCTATTTGCAGCGGTCACCAATCATCGGTAGGCAAGTTGGATGGCCGTTCACGATCTGTGATGCGAGAAACCTGCTGTCTTCTGGGATATTCACACCAACTTCTATTTTCAATATTACTCCTCAAGTCAGCACTTCGCTACTCCTGGGCAATTATACATATACACGCAACACATGGAGTAAGCAGATTTAAGCACCAGTACTTTCAAAATTTACGTCCCCTTGACAATCTCACAAGTCACCATCGGTCCACTTTCTTTTTCTTCAGCAGCATTTCCATCCTCATAGCTAGCTTACGCTGGCTATGATCAGCCTCTATCGATCCTTAGCGAGAGAGCTGTCCAATTCCGTACTTTCATCTTGTTGGCTTGAGCTCTACGAAGAGTATCGGGAAGAGCTTATACCAGATTCCTGCTGATGACTTTCAATCGATCAGTCCTTTTCGTTCAGCATCCATTCTTCCCACATAACACTTCCCGCTACTCCCAGCTCATACCATTCTGACCTCCACAATCATGAGGCACCCTGAAGCAATGTTTACCCACCAGGAATTGCCCTCACTCCTCTCTTCGTCGGAGCAAGGCGGATCTCTCATCCATACCGTCAATATCGCTCCACTTTCTCTCCTTCTCGGTAGTCCAACCCTTTTGCTCTCACCTCTCTCTTGTCCCCCACCCAAGACCATTGAGCTTGGTTTCTAACCCATATACAGCATCGATGGATCCAGCACCTACAGCCAATCCACACGCCGAACTCGTCACCGAATGCTTCCAGGAATGTCCTGCACTCGAGACCCCAGCTCGGAACCGGTCACCTACGACGCCTCCAGATTTGGAGCTGCTGAAAGGGTCAGGGTGGGGTGGTGTTATAGAGCCTGCAGTCGATAAGGAGGAGGATCATTCCCAAGAGGGTAAAGTCGCTGACGTCTTGCTTGACGAAGGCTGTGAAGAGGGCAATGTGCCACTGGGCTCTCAGGGTTGGTTGCCAGGCTTGGCCGGTCATGGTGGGGATCGCATTAGTCGAGGACCGCAGACATCTGCTGTTGAGGACTTGAGCAGGTTGAAAAAGGTCCGAGGCTGCACTTTACCGAGCTTGAAGGAGCTGGGTCTTGATATGTATGTCAAGAAGCAGTATTAGAATAGATCTTGGCGTGCGGTTATTTGAAGCACATGCTATTAAATGAGGAAGGTCATGAATGGTGCAAAGGAATTGAAATTATCGTACTGTAGCAGAGAGATACCTGAAAGGAATGCGTGTGCACGCCTGGGTAAATAATTTGAGGAATTAAGAAGTGGTATAACAGATTAAGGGCAACCTATGGAAGCTCTTGCAATACTCTATGGAAAGAGGCAATTCGGTTGCCCAGAATCTTGGACTCAGACCCATATACTTGGCTGACAATTCGTTCTTTACCATTCAACTGCTGCGCGATTTGGGAATCAGATCTGCAAAGTTTGCTGGTGTGAGGATTGTCAGAGTCCGCTTGAGGGATAGTTTGGGATCAGATTGATTACAGTCGCTGACTTGAGGATGAAGAAGATTCAATAGCTGAGGAAGTGAGGAATCACATCCAGAATACTCGCTGATGTGAGGATAATCAGGCCTTGATCGTCAGGTCCATATCGGTAATTTTTCCAACGGTAACACCATCATCTGCTACAGAAATTCCGATCGACATCGGGATTCGATTGCTCGAAGCTTTAGAGCATTAGACCCGGTACATTCGGTGATCTGATAAAATCAGCGTTCGAGACTAGAGTCCGGATGGACAGTGTTCCCAATGGAAACACCATCATTTGGTGTATCGGTCGAGATCTCTGACAACGAAAGCTTCCTCTTCTCTTCACCAAGGCCTGTGGCTGCAAGCACTGCCCATCTGACCTTGTCGATACCGAGCTTCTTCCCCTCGAGAGTCACTTCAGCACTGCATGCCAAGATCTCACCGAGAGCTTCCGGGCCTTCTCCGTTCCCGGGTTGTATCTTGACCTTCAATTCTTCACATATGCGATCCAACTCTGGAGAGTTCTGTTCCATGCGGGCTAAAGATGGGCGAGACTTTTGAAACAATATACGATCAACTTTGGACAATATGATCTGATGAGATATTGCGTTCTGACGGAACAATGAAAGGATCTCTTCGTCTGAGCGTTTGAGGCCGTGTAATGTATCAACCAGCAAAAAGGCTCGCCGTAATCTACACATTGTCAGCTAGTTGTAATCATTTCCCACGCTCTGTAGCTCTTGCGTACTGCTTCCTCCCGACAAGATATTTCATGATCTCCTGTCCCCACTCTTCTCGACTGCCCTTTCCATAGCCTGGCATGTCTAATACTGCCAGTTTGCCTGGACTACCACGCCCATCTTCACCTCCAACTCCGAAGAAGTTCATAGATCTCGTTCTTCCTGGCTTGCTGCTCGTATGACATATCTTCTGCCCCATCAATGCGTTGAGGAGGCTGGATTTGCCTACATTGGACCTCCCAAGGAAAGCAACTTCAGGTATTGCACTGTTGTTTACTGTCCGGAATTTCGTCGCAGAGAAGAGTAGCTTTGGGGGCGCTGCGCCAAAGAATTTCTCAGCCCGACGGAGCTGGGTAGCTGTCGGCGGAGCTGTGTCCCAGTAATACGCAAGCTCGCGATTTGGGCATTTGGCGGAGCCATTATGAGAAGGAGCTGTGGATGCACAACGTGTATTCAGCTCCTTGAAGAGCCAAGATACACGTTTGCCGCAAGATCGAGTCCTCCAAAAGACTCTCAATGACATAGAATCAAGTGCACTGGGAATAGGGATTGTGCTGCAATTTTGCAGCTAGAGATCGAGAAGTCCGTAGGGCTGAGCTAGCGGGCTCCCGGACATGCACTCCGCAGAATTTCTAGAGCTTTCCACCTCCTTATTTGAAGAGCTTTCTCTCTGTGACGGCAGTTCTCCTCATTGCTACATTGGTGAGTGATTGAAAGCAGCCAACAGTATTACTGGCAAGGAAAAGATTTCTGACCTTATTGACCTTAGTAAGTAAGCCGTACATTCTTCGCTCCCTCTACGTTACGTCCAATACACGATGATACATTCAGCTGGCACCAGTCATAGAAGATTTGTACTCTTTTTCTGCTGATTAGCTTTGTCGGAGCTTAGATCTCCATTTATCTGATAGACCACCGTTTTGTCCTTTTCAGCTTCAACAACTGGTTGGGATCTGTAGCTGATCGCATCCCCCAGGTTTCTATACTTACTTCAGCTGAGCTTTGCCCAGCATGGTCCTCCACAATCCGAACAACTGGCATTGGGTGAATAAAGACGTCAGAGAGTGGGCTCGACAGTATCTAGAACAATCTCTTGTTGGGACATCCTCTGAACAGGGGGATGTCTCCGCCACTGTTTCAAAGATATTGAGCATGGATGGAGATGTGGACGTCAGCCAGCGGAAGGGCAAAGTGATCACACTGTTCGACGTGAAGCTACAGATGGAGTACGAAGGTACTGGTGTTTCTCAAGAGCAATTGGGGCATATGTTGACTTGTTGCAGGCTCGGCCAAGGATGAAGAGGATGTCAGCGGGACTATCACAGTCCCAGAGGTAGCACATGATACGGAGGAAGATGAGTACGTCGTATGTTCCCTATCTTTCCCATGAGCTAGTCTCTTCTTCGAAGCTGACCCAGTGTGTCTCTACAGTTCGACATAGACATCTACTCAGACTCTTCTTCCAAACAGCCTGTGAAGGATTTGGTTCGGTCCAGAGTAGTTCCTCAACTTCGACAAAAGTTGTCTCAACTTGGTTCCGCCCTCATCGCTGAACATGGCAAAGATCTTCAGCATGCAACTGGCGCATCACCCTCTCTGCAGCCCACGACCATCACTACTTCCTCCACTGCCTCCCAAGCGAACGCCAAGCCTGCCACCGCCAAATCTGCTCCCAAAACAACCACAACCAACACACTTGGCCATCCCTCTGTGAATACTACGTCACTAACGTCGAACGAAGAATTCCGTACCACTGCTTTAGAACTCTACAAAACATTCACCGACGCTACCCGCATCGCCGCTTTCACGCGTGCTCCTCCGAAGCTGTTCGAAGGCGCTCACAAGGGTGGCAAGTTCGAACTCTTCGGGGGTAACGTTTCCGGTGAATATCTAACTCTTGAAGAGCCTACGAAGATCGTTCAGAAATGGCGATTAGGGCAGTGGGTGGAAGGACATTACTCGACGTTGACAATAGGGTTTGATCAGAATGATTCAGATGCCGTGACTGTCATGAGGGTTCAATGGGATGGGGTGCCTGTGGGACAGGAAGAGGTTACAAGAAGAAATTGGGGCGAGTACTACGTGAGGAGTATCAAGACTACTTTCGGGTAAGTGGAGTCACAAATGTCCAAAGTCTCTCTGGACAAGACAGAAACTGATCTTCATGTACACAGCTTTGGCACTGTTCTGTAAGGAGTGACGAGTGAACCTGTTTCAAGCAGGCCGCGCAACTGAAACGCACAGTGTAACCGAGCGACTTGAAAAGCGGAAGACACCTGCATCATATGATAGAACGACTAGACGATAAATAGCAAATAAATCACCAATTGAAGAAAGCATCCTAGATGCTGGTACTATTGCCACAACTTCATGTCCTTGGTTTAGTGCGTTCATTGTCTGGCTTCCTGGCTTCCTGGGATTAACTTCTTTCTCTGCCGGTTTCCCAAGGGAGACAGTCTCCTGAATGCTACGACTCGTCGCTGATTTTGCTCATCATTCAAGAGACAGACACCTAGCGTGAGCTTGTCATCTGACCGTCGGAGTCCACTGATAGTGTGCCTAAATTCATGAACAGCGGTGTCGCTTGATGTGGCTTCTTGACGGCCTGTACCCTGTTTACCGTCATGATGGCTATCAGCGCTTCAAGGCGCTTTCGAACACCACCTCAGGATACAAACAAGCTGAATAGGAAATTCTTTGACGGTACAGCTCATATATAGCAAGGCAAATCCCACCTTTAGCGTCCTGGGGTATTTGATGGCTGATGTCCCAGGCGCTCTTTCAGCCTTTCAGCTCTCCGCCATCGGTGGGGTTCTTTACAACGTCGCTCTAAGAGGAAGATAGATCCGTTGAGATGCAAAAGGAAAGCTCTGCATAGCAACAGAATGGTCCGCGGCATTACCTCGATTACGTGGGCCATACTCCATAAAGGGGTAAGAGCATTGAAGAGAGAGACCAGGCTATTCCGAGTGACGATTCTCGCTTACTAACAGCGCCTAAAGGCCATGATTGGCTAGACGCGGGCACGGCAGCTTTAATGCCGCCTCACAATATTCTTGTCCGTCCCTAAGTAATACGAAGAATCACGGTCAGCTTGAAACGGCCAGCGACTGGCAATATGAAATAGGAACAGCGCCTAATTAGAACGGCATCATAATTACGGGGGTTTGAAACAAACATGCAATTATTTTTATCGAGTACGGGATGTTGGAGAGGCAGAAAACCGAATCTGAGACCCCACGCCGTAAATAGGACCGCCTTGGCCGGTGTCCTTCACGGGCAGCCGCAGGGCATGGTGCAGATTGCAGATCAGCGCATCTGAGCCAGCCGCCTTTGACGTTTGGGGCTTGTGAGGGAAACACAATTTTGCACTCACTCAGTGATGATGATGCAGTCAGCTTAGCACTCTGTCTCAAATTTGCAGAAATTGGAGTCATCGGTTGGCGCGCATCATACTGCTCTGACTTTCACTTCCGTCTACAGAGCGGTCAGGGGATGATAAGACGGATGAGGATGTTGAGAATCTTTACAGCGGATACTAGTACTACTTTAACCATCGGGCGCCGAGGACTAATCCTGAAGGAAGATGTTCGTGTCGTCCGGACGTCGTGTATACAATTGGGGCTCAATAATACTTTGTGCGAGGAATTCGGCAAGTAGCTCCGTATGTTTTGCGTGCGTAAACAAAGGAGCCGTGTCGGTGTGGAGCAGTTCGTCTCGGGGAAGCGGGAGATGGAAGAAGAGGCAAAAAAAAGATCTCGCCTCGAGTTTGCTCCTTAAGGCAAGTCCTTAAATATTTGCCGAGGTTTGCGGAGGCCAAATCGATGGAATGAGCGGGGATAAGCCAGCGCGAATTGGTAGAGCGCCACGATAGAGGGGCTCTTCTCCGCAGCAAACCAGCCACAATACGGTGTCAGCCTCATTCTTGGCGGCGAAGTCCAATCATACTGGTGATACGCTACGCTTCTTCTCCATCCTCCATATTCGAAATCCAGACCCGACTCCCGGATGAAGTACCTACCATCTCTGGCCAAGTATTACCGGACAATTAGCAGAAGATGGGCACTGGGATCTCATGAGTTCGGACGCCATAAAATTCAAAGCTATTTGAAGCCTGAACCGCATGGCCATTCTCTCCGGCTACTGGCGGAAGCCAAATAGTGGAGGGGCTCATCTCTTGAAATTTGATCACAAGGCCGTCGAATGAAATGCTCAACCACTGGGTCTCCTCAGCTGCCTGCTCCAGATCATCGCCGACAATTCAGCCGACAGCCACTACCATAATCGACAATGTGTAATAGGTATCTTCTTCCTTCGTGGGCCATTCACCCCTTTGCGCACATGGCAAGACCATGGGACACGAGGTTCAGAGTATAAGGTCAAGATGGATCCTTTCCTTCATTCCACTTGATAGCTTCCTTCGATAGACATCGAAAGATCTTCATATCTGGCCAAGTCCTTCTCCACTCACATTCAATTATCTACTGGTTCGTGTTAACGCTTCGGCTCATCAGACTTCTGGAACGCGTCTCAACCACCTCCTTACACGTTGACGAGTGCGATAAGAAATTCATCATCTCTGTCGAGCCAGTCAAGCCTCATCTTTACACTCCCGCCGCAGACCCGCATTCGGTCTGCTTCAAGAGTTGACCGCCTCACCAACTCTGCATTTTGGCTCATCATCAATTTGACGTTTCAAAAGGTGCAGAAGATTGGGTGAAACCAAAGGCAGTGGGTGGAAAAGAGTCATAGCGACGCACAAAGCAGCGGCCCAACCCCTTCCCTTCTTACTATTTTAAAGGTATGTGGAAAATGCATGTCTGATTGGCTGTCTCCAAGGCCGCGCGCTAAGTGAAGCAGAAGCGAAGACAAGGGAGTGCGGGTATCCAATCAACCCCTTCGTTTCACGTGCTGCTTGCAGAAGGGCTCTTCTCCCACCACCAAGCAAAACAAGGTCGTCGAAATTCCTCCAACCTAGCCACCCGCCGGGAAGGGGGGAAGACCCCAGGTCCATTGATTCCATTCTTATTATACTCATTCATTTCTCAACCACTTGAATCTTCACATCACTTTAACCTCATACAAGAGCGGGGCACCAAGCATAGGGGCCCGTCTTTGCTTCATCTTCACGCCAAGGGCGATCCTCAT